CCCAAGAACCGATTAGTTCAACAAATAAACATGAAGGAACATCTAGGGGGTATGTTAAAAGATACAGTCCAACTTACCGAAATCCATGTCACATGTAATCGCTCAGTGTTTCTACCGCGGAAAGACGTCAAAACAGCTTGTAAACAATTTCACATATTAAGCCCCTTTCACACAGAGATTCCGGAAAATACACGGATAAAGTGACCCGGGATTTGACCCGGGTTCGTTTGATTCTACTTCATTCACACTGCCAGTGATTTGCCGGAATCAGAGAGCGCGTTCACACACAACCCGTGTATGTTCCGGAAAGACGCGTGACGTTGGATGTGATGGGTCTCTACTTCAGTCCAGTTTGTAGAAATTTTTTCGTTCTTTCTTGTATCGATGACGAACACAAACTTGATTCTAGAGTAACTGAGCCGCACGATAACTACGTCATTGCAAAGGCTCGTGAATCCTCACTACGACACACCCCTTATACGGCATTGGTTCTGGCTTTTGTTCACACAGCGCGCGTTCCGGGTCTGAACACGGCAATGTTACTAGGTCCCCAACCCGGCATCGATCCCGGCATCAATCCCGGGTCGTGTTTGCATTCTCACAGAAGGCACTATGGCAATTTGCCGGCAATTTGCCGGGTTCAAAGCGCTGTGTGAAAGGGGCTATAACGTCACATTTACCTCATATTTACCTCATATTCAGTGTCCCATAAACTCGTTAGTCAGCTAGAAAAATGAACTCTAGAGAGAAGCATTTGAATAAATGTATGCACCACATTACACATTCCTTAATAAAAAAAACCTTAATAAATCCGTCAAGTTTTTATGACCGCATTTATATATTTTTTGTTGTTTGTGTATGTTTATATTTCACGAATTGGAGTAGAAATGTTTTTTATTCTAAAGTTAGTATTACAACTTGATTATAATACAAACTTCGTCGAGTGTATTAAGTGTTTGTATACAAATCAGTTCATTTTAACCTTAAATATTATAGTAATGTAGTACCAACTGACTCACGTGTATCCAAAATAACTGATATTGAATTTAATCGTCATCGAATCGCAAGCTTGTGAATGGAAATCTAATTGAATCGTGAAATTTGTGTAAATACCCAGCTCTATATTAGTATGTTAGATAGATCATGGTGTTACAGATTTAATTTTGCTGCTTTAATACAGATATTTGTTAACAGTTTAGTGTTTTTGATTTCTATAGTTCTGCAACAGACTCAATGAATTCAGGGATGGTGGTGCAGTGCAGAGAATTGGTTGACTTTTATATTTGTGTTCTTATAAAAGCTTTGAGCCTCAGGAGCCAGTGAGAACATCAAGATAACAATAAAGAATCTCAAATAATTGCAAGTCTCCACCTGTCTGATAGGCAAACTAACGTAAGAATGTCTCCAATGTGTCTGTTTCTGTGTTGTTGTTTTGTTTTTTTATCACAGTTTAAATGGGCTGCGTCAACCAGCCAGTAATGATTCAGATCAGATTTCAGGATTGATTATCATCACCAGAGCATAGGAGATCAAATTAATTGTTTCATCTGGCCAGGTTTCTCTCAGCTGCTTTGACTTTGCTGGTGTTTTTCTTTGGACTACTTGCACGACTACTTCTGTTTTACTTTATTACAACTTGGGAGTTTCCGGTAACAGCATTCATAAATGCATATGCAAATGATATGTTCTTTACATTTTGATCAGAGTGTGTACATTATGGATTTATGTGTTTGGATGTGAATGTGATGGTCGGTTTTTCTTCAGAATAGTTGGCAATTCAAAAAGTTTGAACTAACAGTATTGGATCATTAGCATGAAGAAGATGAAAAAAGGAAGGATTGAAACATCTGATTTTGAAACTCGTCATCATCCAACCAGGGCAGATTACAGCATCTTCTTTATTAATGCGCTGCACAGAGTCACAACTTCTAACTGGGTCACAGTCTTTTATAGTGTGCTGCAGATGCCAGATTGTGGCATATAAGCCAAGCCAGAGAAGAGATGAAAGGAGTTTACAAGTTTAGAGTGGCATTTTGGCACTTGGTTCAATTTATGAAAACCACTTTCACAACAAACCAACCTTTTTTTTTTTCTCTTTTTTTTTTCTTTTTTTTTCTTTTTTTTTTAAATGCCATTTGCTCCCAATTTGGTGATCAAAAATACAGCAAAACAGTAATATTGTAAGAATATTATAAATGTTTTACAATTGTCTTCTAATTTAATATAGGCTACTTCTAAATCTAATATATTCCAGTGATGACAATGCTGAATTTCCAGCAATCTAGGGCTGTCAAAATGGCTGAAAAATCAAAAATGTCTCCGGTTGCTATCGTAACCTCGGTTCCCTCGGCTTCAGAGGTGGGAACGAGACATTGCGTAGCTACGCTGCGGGAACTCTTCCTTTCTCCACTTTTGTTGAAATCTTAAGGGCTAACGCCAGATTGGAACAATTGGCCAATTGTCGCGAAGTATGCAAATACTGACAGGCTTGCGGGCAGTGTAAAATGCATGGGCGTGACAATTGGTTCAGAATCACGACTGAACGCTTGCACAGCTAATCAAACAGCGAACACTGCGGCTAACGCATGTCTCGTTCCCGCCTCTCAGGGAACCTAGGTTACGATAGCAACCGGAGACGTTCCCTTTCGAAAGCGGTAACTCTAGATTGCGTAGCAACGCTGCGGGAACTGTATTAAATCCCGCCGTGAGAGTAGTGAAGAAAAGCCAGAAGAAACGGGGTCAAGCTACACCAGCCACGGAAGAGACAGACAGTCCACCAATAGCCATGCCGCTAGGAGTGCTTGCATCTGATAGGCGGAACTAGACCAATGAGACATCAGCTCCGACCCTATCAAAATTTGCATATCCAAACTCAATGAAAGCGAAGGCTGTGCTGATCCAGGGCAGACACAACACAATAAGTACTCCAGCATGAGGGTTAAACACAGTGTCAACCGCGATAGCGGTGACAGCTGTAACACTAGTAGCCATATACACAGTCAACAGCATAGTGGTAACTAGGGATGTGAATTTCTGCCAAAAATGACATTCGAAAATCGAGGAGCAAAAGTCGATTATCGTTCGAAAAAACCCCCCCCAAAAAAACGCACACTCACAATGACAGAAAGGGAGGCCAATTTCATCTTTAGCGATTTGTCATCAAACAAACTGTTTATTATTCAAACAATTAACATGTTTTCGTCGTTTTTTTTTACATACCGGTAGTTAACATAGAAGAAAAAAACAAGCACGACAGTCCGTTTTTGCATCGCCAAACCAGATGCTCGTTAGATAAAAAAAAATAATGTCATAATGATTTTACGCAAACCTGCCTTGTTACTGCAAAAGCCTACTTTTTAAACAAATTAGTTTCAATCAAAACTATTCGTGTAATGCCACTGCGCAATACACACACATTAATACCGCGGGATGGCGGGTGTTCATTTCATAAACTGTGGACAATGGTAGCTTATTTAATGTAGCCTATAAATGAATGTATATGTCCAAAAAACGGATAATGTCATCATACTTGTAGTGCTATCGTCGAGTAATAATCTGTTTGGTTGTAAAATGTATTACCTGAATGAAATGAACTAGAATGTATCGTCCTGTGGAATTATTCATTCACAGACATCATACAAAGATGTTCAACTAGATCTTCATCGCTGGCAAAAATATGATGAATTTGCAGATTTGCTTTCACTAGACTGTACTGTAGGTCCACGGCCACTTCATCCAACGCTCTTGATGTTCTTAAATCTTCCTGTTATTTACGACTCCGTGTCGAGTGTGCATTGAAAGCGCTTCAGACGATTCAGTGCGCGAGGAACTGAACAGCTCATTCAAACTGATTCGCGAACCGATTTAAACAGATCTGCCAACTTGTTTGATGAAGTCTTTGAACAGAATCGACTCAAAAGAGTGATTCATTGAATGGAGCATCGCTCATCCCCATAAAAAAGACACAGCGCGCATGGAATAAACTACGCATTTAACAATGTATTCCATTAAAATAAAGTAACGAGAGGAACGTCGCCCAACGTAGTGAAGTAAATGTAGCCTACTTTGTTACTACCATAGACGGTTACTAGACAGTAAAGGTTAGTCTACTACCCACTTCTGTTGGGCGCAGAGTTAACGGTCACGACAATGCTCTTCTTCTGTTGTAAATAAATAGTTCACAATTCATGAGTACGAAACTTAACTCCTTCTGTTTAATATTTCAATTTGGCAGAAAACCAATAATGAATACAAATAGTTGATGCATCCAACATGAGTAAAATGCCCATGCTCAGTTACAGACAAGAAATTTTAATTGTCACCGCCACAACAATTTCTAGGCTATGTCTTTAAATAACCACAAAGAAGCATCCAAAAAATGAGGTACAGAATGTTTAGTCTAAAGTTAAAACCTGTTTAGAAACGTGTTTAGTAACATGAAGTAAAGCACTTCTGTAGTTAATGTGAGCCAGCTAATTCTAATGCTTACCATTCCCAATTACTTTTTTAGATTAGCACTAAGAAAAACTTATCAGTCAGTATTTCTCTGGTCAAGTCGTCTGATAAGTCTGTCTACAATATTGAAGATGTATTAAATATTAAAGCTTAATTATCATGTGTTGTCAATTGTGAGTGAAAATTTGAGCAAGTCTGAAAAATTGTATAAAGTATATTCTAAATTAAAATGACTTTAGTAACAGTCTATATTTTTTCTATTTAAACCTTTTTCAGAACTGTAATGTTTAATAAGGAAAGTAAGGACAGAAACGTTAAAATACTGAATCTAGTCGGAGAGAACTGATTTTTTTTTTTTTTTTTTTAAGCCCTGATTAAAATAGTAGTCCAGACTGATGTCTCATTGAATAGATCGCCTGTTGAGAAGTTCCTTGACTCAATGCCTTGTTTTTGTGATGTTGCAGATGAACAAAATACAACAGGATTGCTTATTTAGCATTCATGCATAGTTACCAGTTCTCTCTCTTTATTTTTCTCTGTCTCAGGAGCCAGTCATGCCTGCCAGTGTGCGTACTGGGACCCTGAAGGACTCAGAGGTGTCTGAGCTCTTCTACAGAGATGATCCTGAGAAGCTCTTCACTGATCTGCGGGAAATCGGTCATGGCAGCTTTGGAGCTGTGTACTTTGTGAGTAACCCATGCCAATATTTAGCTATGGATGTGCTTGTACGTGTGTGTCATAAGGCTCTCTATATGACCGTATTTTTTCTCTCAGGCTCATGATGTGCGTTCCAATGAAGTTGTGGCCATCAAGAAGATGTCGTTCAGTGGCAAGCAGTCCAATGAGGTCAGAATCAAAATACAACTTGTATCTCAACAGTATTGAATCAGACAGTTCAAACTCATTCACGAAAACTAACCACATTTTTGCTACTGTTTGGCGTGTTCTCTCTCTTGGCCCACAGAAATGGCAAGACATCATAAAAGAGGTGAAGTTCTTGCAGAAGCTCAGACACCCCAATACCATCGAATACAAAGGGTGCTACCTCAGAGAGCACACAGCATGGGTGAGTGCATGTGCATATGCGTGTGAGCGACGTGTTTGTCTGACGTGTGCTAATGTTGTCTGTCTCTCCTGTTAGCTGGTGATGGAATACTGTCTAGGATCAGCCTCTGATCTTTTAGAGGGTGAGTAGTTCATGTGTACCCTTCCTCACATCCTCCCTTCTTACCAAATAAAGCTGTTGTGCTCTCCCTCAGCTGCCCTGTCTGACATTAGAGGTGTCCATTTGTTTTCGCTGTGCTGTATTTGTACCATCATCAGTTCATAGGGAAACATGCAGGTGTAAATATTGTAATCGTCAGATTTCTGGATTGTGATATTTTCCCACAGTGAAGTATTTTCTTTTTATCCAACAGTGCATAAAAAGCCTCTTCAAGAGGTGGAAATAGCTGCTATTACCCACGGTGCACTTCAGGGCCTCGCCTACCTTCACTCTCATAACATGATACACAGGTGAGAACGCTGACCCTTTCCTTGAATTTCTGTTCTTATTTTTACACCTGCTCGCTTTGAGATTTTTATTCGGCTGTTCTTTTGTAGTGCCATCTAAGTTTTTTACTCTATTGTCAATATATATATTTTTTTCAGTGCTGAAAGATGCACAGATCCTGATTTCTTTTCTTTTCTTTTTCCAGAGATGTGAAGGCAGGTAATATTCTGCTAACTGAGCCTGGTCAGGTGAAGCTTGGAGATTTTGGCTCTGCCTCAATAGTTTCTCCCGCCAACTCTTTTGTGGGTACACCTTACTGGTGAGTTGTAAATACAATTGATTATTTGGTTAAAGGCACAGTATGTAAGTTTCTCTGCTAGAGGTCTCTTGTTCAAAACAATAACAATGGCGTAGCTTGATGACGCCATGAAGGAGGGTGGAATCATGGGAGTTGACGTCTTCACCTCCACAGCCGATGGAAAACAATCTGATGGGACTCAGGGAGAAATCATGTTCATGGATGAGCTAATGTATTAAAGTTTTATAAAGTTACTGAGCTGGTCGGGGGCTGAGAGCCGTGGGAGCGGAACGAGGCCGGTGAAGTGAATGCTAATGAGAGACAGATCCCTGCGCAGCACACCAGTCTCGAGTCCCATGGAGGAGCTCCAGAGCTTTTATTATGCTTATATGGCGCAAAGCTTCTTTTGTTTTGTTGTGTTCATTTTACGATTAAAGTTACGTTTAACGTTCTCCGCCTCCTTCCCTAAAATAATTTCCCCTTGAGGATTAATAAAGTAATACTGAACTGAACTTGACATTCAGTTACGTTTGATCACTTTGAAATCACATTATTTTATTTCATTCTAATGAAATGAAATTACTACTCATACAAGTCACTTTATTTGCCGAATTAAAACTGTGGGGTTACGCAGCACTGTTTTAATTGCTCATTGCTACTTTTGAGTGTGTTGAAAGTTATGTTATTACTCTAATTGTTGCACATTGCAGTAAGATAGATCGATATTAAAATATCATAAATAAAAGCTGAATGACTCTGAATTGCTAAATGACATGCAATTCTTTTTAAAATATATTGTATGGTGGAGAAAATGCTGTATTACTGTTACTATATAAAGCTCTTTCTCATTATGCTATGTTAGCCACTTGACAAAGTACTGTTGTCTCTGAGGTACAAACATGTTACTCGCAGTAAATAAATAAAAAACAAGAGATTCAAACAATAAGACTAACCGTGTTGAGCTATATAACAATTAGTAGTTTCTGTCGATCAAGGTATCCAAACAGTTGCTCACCTGTCTAATAAAACACATATCTTAAAGCATCTTTGATATTTTGATGGTTTCTACGGAATTTAAGTTAAAGGGGCTGTTTTATGAACCTAAAGTTGAGACAGGGGTTCTTTTAATAAATGAGCATGAGAGAGTAATTTTATGCTTTATGCACCGATATAACAATACACTACTGTTCAAAAGTTTGGGGTCAGTAAGTTTTTTTTTTTTTTTTTTTTTTTTTTTTTTTTTTTTTTTAAAGAAATGACTACTTTTTTTGGAGACACAACTCCTTGGAAGCAACCCCCTTTACAAAAAAAAAATATTCCAGATAAATGCTGTTTTGTAAATGTTTAATTCATCAAAGAATCTTAAAAAACTATTACAGACTAGAACGATGACTATATTAGCGTTCACACACCAGCGGACACACAGTGACGTTGTCTGCCTTGTCTTAGGCGGGTTGGATTCTGATGGGCTGTCAAAGCTTTTTTAATCACTCATCAGCTGGAGAAAAAATAATTCTGAAAGTGATTCCAACGATATTGTGTCATTATCGTTAGAGTTGTGGTGTGGATTACCATATTTTCATAGAATTAAAAGGATTATTAAAACTTTATAGTTCTTATTCTTGGTTTGAATGGCTATTGTAAATTATATTTCCTACTATTATTTTTTTTCTTACTGTATTTTAATTTGGTCACCCCAAACTTTTGAATGGTAGTTAACATAGTAATAAACAATTATATTTACCTAATATGTTTACAAAGACATTTTAATTAGAGACGAACACCTCAGAGACTTCCATTAGGTTTTTGAGTGACAACAGTAATTAATCTTACAATCAGATTTTTGGACTGACCCACTGACCTAATTAGGTTACATTAGTTTGCATAGATGAATTAGCCCTTCCACTTCTAACACCATTTTTTCTGCTAAAATGTAAATCTCAGATACTATTAAAATGTTTTAACGCTCATACTTTCAAGTCATGACAGGGATTGCAAAACAAGTCTAATAACACAACCTTTAGGAAACATAATTGCCAAATAAAAAGGATGATTTAAATGGTCCCATTTGAGTTTTAAATTATTAAAATGATTGCAACATTCACTATGTCGGCCATAATATCGGTCCATAAATGGTCTACGTGAACTGAGAGGAACCTGCATTGTGAATATTAAAGTGTCTGTGCAGTAGATTGTACTTTTATATCTTTCAAGGGAGCAAAAAAAGTGTTGTTTACCATGATCCGTCCCCTCTCGTGTTTAGGATGGCCCCAGAAGTGATCCTAGCCATGGACGAGGGGCAGTACGACGGGAAAGTGGACGTCTGGTCTCTCGGCATCACCTGCATCGAACTAGGTTTGTGATGTTGAAACTCATCCATGACTTTCCACCTCCCACTGACCTGGAACTTAAAGCCATCTCGAGTATTAAGGGTTTATTTAGGCCAGCGTGTTTCTGTGCTTGCGAGTCTGTGTTTTGTCGCCGTCTTTTGCTTGGAAAAGGGATTTGGGTTTTAGTGTCTAAGCTGCTTTGGGTTGTCAGCTAACTTCTACTCCTCTTTCTCTTGTTCTCGCCCACTCTGTACGTTTCCCTTAAACTGCTAGCCTTTTCATTTATTCACTCATACCTCTTAGTGTCTGTTTATTTCAGTGTAGCACTAATTCTGGTCTCCTACTTTTATTCCGACTTAATTATCTTTTTTGTGTGTGTGCTTGCACTGGTTTTAAATTTCTGTTTGTCTCTTTGTCTAGCTGAAAGGAAGCCGCCCTTGTTCAATATGAATGCTATGAGTGCCTTATACCACATTGCGCAAAACGAAAGCCCTGTCCTGGCGTCAAACCACTGGTGAGAACTTTGTTCTACTTTTTTTTTTTTTTCTTCTCTTGTTCTTTCATTGTCTTATTTAACTGTTTGGTTTTGCTTTTCATCTCTGTTTGGTTTTGCATTGTTCTCTTGCATTTGCAATCAATTTATTTGTTTTTCAGTGTGTGGGTAAACTGACATTTTATTAGCTGTTAGGCCGTGTCCACCAAAGCGTTTTTCCACGCGCCTGGCGTATGTTTTCAATGGGAGCGCCGCATTTTTAAAACGTCATGAGCGTAACGAGGCGCTGAGTGTTTTTTTCACGCTGAAGCGCCCGGCGTTTTTTACTGGTCGCCGAGAGTTGAAAAATGTTCAACTTTGGGTAAAACGCAGCGTTCATCACGGTCACTCTTTACCCAGCCGTCCAATCACAGTGGAAGAGGGGCGGGGCTAATACCACACCGACTGACTGTCACAATTTTCTTTCTGTACAACGACATCAACCAGCAGAGCTAACCGAACAAAATGGATGAAAAGTAAATTTTTAGTATGAAACTAATTATCTGCGAAATCAGTTACAAGTAAACTGTGCTGGGGATATTCTGTATCATAGCAACGAAACGTCTCAACGGAAAAGCTAGGCGTTTTCAGCAGAGCGTCTTGTGTTTTCAGCTGGCTAAAAACACTTTGGTGGACACACAGCCTTAGGTAAATAACTCAAAGTATAATACTAGAATTTAGTAGTGTTACACAACAACAGCAGCATAGAATCGATATACAGTCATGTGAAAAAGATAGGACACCCCATGAAAACCTTTGTCTTTTTCAACATATGGACATTGGATCTTCATTTTAACAATATTGAGACATGGAGGTGATAAATAATAATACTAAAAACTAATAAAACTGAATAAATGTCTTTGTAAAATTATTTGTAAAATTCCCTTAATAGACATGAAATATTTGGTGAGGAAAAAAGATAGGACACCTCCACATTTATTTACTACTTAAAATGCATAAAATTATAATATATTGCCTTTATTAAACCAGAAAGAAAACTCATTGAGATTAAAAATCTCTTTTCCAAGAGCGTCCTGGCCAAGACAGGCAGCAGCACAATTAACGTTGCAGACATAAAAACATATAACATGAACATAAAACATATAACAATTTATGCCGGTAAAAAAATAGTGAGTTACAAGTTTCATATCTATTTATCACAAGCGATAAACAACAGCAAGGATCGTCAGAATAGTCAATCATAACATCTACAGCCAGTTTGTGTAGCCTCCATGTCATTTAAAAGTGATTAAAAATCAACAAGTGAAACCGGCTTCTGAAGATTCAGGACATTTTGCAGCTGATTCCAAGCGCAGGGGGCCGCATACTTAAACGCCCCTTTTCCCAATTCAGTCCGGACTTGAGGGACATGTAACAATACTAAGTCCTCAGAACAAAGGCAATATCTTCCTGCGCCTTTCTTTTTAATGTTAGATTGAAGATATGGGGGAAGCAGACCAAGAATAGCTTTGTAGATAAAAATGTGCCAATGATTAAGTCTACGAGTGGACAATGCAGACCAACCAACCCGATCATAACAAAGAACAGTGATGAGTAAGTGCTTTAAAGTTTGTGATGAACCTAAGAGCTCCGTGGTAAACGGTATCCAACAGTTTTAAGCTTGTAATAGATGCATGCATGTATATAATATCGCCATAGTCCAGCACTGACATGAAAGGAGCAGCAACAAGCCACCTTTTGGCCTCAAAGGAAAAACATGACTTGTTTCTAAAATAAAAACCAGTTTCAGCTTCAGTTTTTTCACTAACTGCTGAATGTGAGGTTTAAAAGAGAGTGAATCATCAATTAGGAAACCAAGATACTTGTATTGAGATACAGACTCAATCTCGGAATCAGTTGCGCCACATCATGTGCAAAAGATTAGAACATCGTTAGAGAGGATTTTGGAGGAGCCTGTCTTATTTAAACCTCAGACATTTAGTTTGGTTTGCTCTTTATTGTGGAAGTGAGTGAAATCACCATGGTGAGATCAAAAGAGCTCTCGTGAGGCCTTCAGAAAGAAGGTTGTAGATGCGTCTGGGAAGCAATGTTGTTTTCGTCAACGATGACGATAACGAAATGATTTTGTTGACGCACTTTTTTTTTATGACTATAACGCGACGATGACTAGCTAAAAATGGCTCTAAGGTGACTAAAACATGACGAGACGTTTTCGAGTTTTCGTTGACAAGACGAGACGGAACGAAAATGACTATAAGTCTGACGTTCGCAATGCATGTCATTTCTGCCTATTTTGCGTGAAATCTGTCTGTTTTGAGCTAAAAAAAAGTATCAGCAATGCTGCCGCTTCCTATCATTGTTTTGGGTACCCATGCCGCGCGCGCACCAGATTCCACACAACAACACACCTGCGGCTGCGGCTAGTCACTCACCACACATCTTCGAAGGACCATGGCGGCGAAGCCAATAAACGGGCTTGGTGGTCGGAAACGACGAGATGATTTATGGACATACTTTCAGTTTCAGTATAATCCAGCGGTTCTCAAAGTGTGGGGCGCGCCCCACTGGCGTGACAGGTCTCCTCCAAAACGGGAGGAAATTTTCCGTTTTATGCCTTTTTATCTAGTATTCGTTCATGGCGAGTCCGCATCGTCAAATTCATCTTTGCAGCGACACCGAAAACACCAGTTTATTAATAAACAATTAAATGTCTCCTTGCTATTTTTTTACACATTCATAATCATAATTGTTCTTTGTGGCAAGCTTTATGCGTTTGTCATTAAAACGCTCTTGTATGTAGGACTAATTTCTTGCGCATCTAATCCCATCCCTCCGTTGCTAATTTCAAAACGTCATTTTAGAGTTAGGGCCGTTACATAGTCAACGCAAGCAACGCGAGCGACGCGAGCTACGCGCTCCTTCTCATAGTACACAAGCGTCACCGGCGATGCGTGAAATGCAATACACCGATCGCGCAGCAGGGGGTAGTAGAGTCTAGAGTCGGGTCACGTAATATTCAGATCAAAATGGCAACTGAAGAGGAGTGCATATTGCTGATTTTACGTCGGCGGCAACAAAGGATGTATACGAACAAGCTCGCATAACTTTTCCCCTTTGCCCGCCATTGTATTCAAATCTTCTTCTTCTGTAAACATAATAATATACCTTTTTATGTACATTACTTGCAATGTCGCCCCCACCGACAACGCATAGTATTGCGTGCATCGGCGCGTCGCGTATCAAAAACTAGGATGACACATTTGGCTACGCATCGACGCATAATGGCGGCCGAAGCGTAGCGATGTGTAGCCTTGCGCACGCGTATGCGTACCGATGCGTTGACTATGTAAGGGCCCTTAGTAACGGAGGTTTGAGCCACTGATAGCAGACTAATGATGGACACACTTACCGACTGGCTGAAACATTCTCTGACTGTTTCAATTGACTGCAGAAGATTTTAAACTGAACGCGCTGAACACGCGTTTGGGCATGATCAATCATAACAAAGTATCAAATTACATTCATAACCGGCCTTACAATAAGTGTGTCCCCGGCTTTATGCAGTTATTAATGCAGTTATTAGAGAGAGAGAGAAGCATGTGCTTCAATGTTATTATTTATGAATTAATTAAATTCATTTTAATTAGTTTGTTCATGTTTTTTTCCTAATATTGACAGTAATAAATGAAACACAAAGTCCTATTAACAAGTATAGGCCTATCAATAATTATTCATTTGTTATAGCCTATTATCTGCAATAATTACGAAAACCCGTGCAGCAGGACTATCAATTATTTATAGGCCTATTCAGTTTAATTTTCTATTGACTATATTGGGCTATATACTTTATTTATTAAAATTAAACTGCATGTGTCCATTGATTGTGAAGTTAGACATCGAAAATTGCAGATCAAGCGCATGTGGCTGCATGTTTTTCTTGTTATGAATTGTATCCTATTTTCCGTTATTACAGTTAACTACGCGAAGTGATATGGAACTGTAATGCGGTCAAGACCTGCCTGGAACTACTTTAGCCGTGCGTTTCCCTGAAAATAATTGCACACCTTAGAACGTTTCTCAACCAATCAGAATCAAGCATTCAACAGCCCTGTAGTATAAAGTGAAATGGAATATTCAGATGCTAATCATGGCGCTATTGTATTTCACTCTTATTGCAAGTAATATTCCACACAGATTGTACCATTGTTCACTATATTGGATTGTTAAGTAATTGGATATGAAGTCTGTATTATTTACTTATTGTAATTATTTATCTTTGTACAGACCGCACACAAACATATGCTTCAGTAAAGACATCAAAGGAAACAACTGTGGTTGACTGAGTTTCTGGGTTCTGATAGGCCCATTCAGGGCGACTGTTGCTTATCCTACAGTCCTTAAGAGATAACATTCAAATTTCCAAATCCAAACCCAACATGACTGTATAGTAATTTATTAAAGTAATGAAATAATAAATCATTTATTATCAACGTGTCCATGTACCTGTTAGGAAAGAGGAAATGTTCTAAAGCAGCATGATCATTTACTTTTGTTGAACTCAGTGGAAATTGCTTACTGGAAGTCTTCAACAAAGATTTTTGAAATGGCCAGTGTCCATTGACTCCATTGGTCACTTAAAATAAGTTTGAAATGACTGCTTTTACTATTGGAGTTTCATTTTTTTCTACATGTTTGTCTTTTTATGTTTTCTGTGTTTGTGAGTGTGGTTAACTTTACTTTTCTCTCTCCTTGTTTTAAATGCAGGTCGGACTACTTCCGTAACTTTGTGGACTCTTGTCTTCAAAAGATCCCTCAGGACAGGCCTACCTCAGATGTGCTGCTCAATGTGAGACTTGAACACACACTCTCCGACTCTTCATTCACTCTTTCATTCACATGTTCTCTCGTCCCTTGTTCTAGCTAGGCCTGTCATTACATAATCGGCTTTTCGTTTGAAATAATCTCTATTATTGTGCACTTTATGTTCCACTGGAATATAGAAAGGGCTTCTGTTGGAATGTCAAAAATTGAAAAAGATTTCATGGCAAAACCTATGAGAAATGAGGACTGACAAAGTACGCCCTGATTTCATCAGGTTTGCGCACCTTATTGTACGTTCATTAAACAAAAAGACTGATTTACTTTATGACATCATCCTTGACAAAAAACTCGATGTCTTCTGTATTTCAGAAACTTGGCATCAACAGAATTACTTTTTAAATCTCAATCTGTGTACTCCACCGGGATTTAGATATCTTGACAAACCCAGAGCAACTGGTAAAGGGGGTGGCCTGGCTGTTGTGTTCAGTACCGAGGTCTCTGTAACTGAAATTGCTGTTCCTCCTGTCTTATCATTCGAGAGTATTGTTTTTAAAGTTAGTGGTGTTTCTCCTGTTTTGATCTTGTTTATCTATCGGCCACCGAAACCTTAACCCTCTGTTCTTTGATGAACTCACAGAGCTACTTGCATTTGTAAATCCCCTCTGTCCATCTATGATTCTTATTGGAGATATTAACATTCATGTCGATAATCATAGTTGTTATCATACTGCTAATCTGATGGAGATTCTGGATTGTTTTAACCTGGTACAACATGTAAACTTTTCTACTCATAGAAAAGGTCATACACTTGATTTAGTGTGTACAGCTGGTGCTGATATTAATCAGCTTGAAGGCAAAGATTTGTGTATCAGTGACCATAAGCTCTTGAGCTTTAACTTATCTGTTCCTCTTCAAAAACTACAAAAGAGGGTTATTAGTTTTAGAAATCTTAAAAATATTGATCTTAATCAGTTTTCATGTATGATCAATGAGAGTCCTGCAAGTAACACTGTGGATCATTATAATTTAATTTTATCATCAACTCTTGATCTGCTGGCCCCCAGGAAGGAACGTGTCGTTTCATTTTCAAAATCATCACCCTGGTTTACTATGGAGCTCAGGGCTCTTAAAGCAAAGAACAGGCAGTTGGAACGACAATATAAAAAATCAGGACAATATAAAAAATACTACTCTCAAATCATTAATGACGGTACTGCAAAACCAAACAAGATGTTTAAAGTAATCAACAAACTCCTTAAACCTACCAATTCAATTATTTGTTCCATTGTGCAGCAGTGCAATAAGTTTCTGATATTCTTTGCAGACAAAATTGAGAATATTTATCATTCTATTACTTTTGTCTCTTTGTGCGCACCTCCTGAGATTCAGCCTTTAAATTGTCCACTTACCCGGTTTTCTAGTTTTCAAACGGTCACCATTGATTACATTTCCAAATTAATTATGACGATGAGTTCCACTACCTGTACTCTGGATCCTATTCCAACTCATGTTCTCAAGGAGTGTCTGTCATCTATCAGTCCTCTCATTTTGAACATTGTTAATGCTTCTCTTACTACTGGACTTGTTCCCCAAGCCCTTAAGGTTGCTTCCATCACTCCTGTCTGAAAGCCTATTTGTTCAGCACTGAGGTTTCCTAAGTGCGTTCGAACGCTCCATCACGTGAACTGCGCCTGGACAGAAAATCCAACGCGCGCGGCTCAGTTGTTCGCGCTCAGTGATGATGAGAGGAGACTCAGACCCCTTTCTTTACTTTTGTGTGCGTTTTATGAAAAGCAAGTAAGTTCTTACTATTGTTGTATGTTTATACTGCGTTGTAAGGAATGTTGTGAAATTTATGTATGTTCATACGAACTAGTTTTATTTGTTGAACTGCGTGACTAATTAGTGTAGTCATGATACCAGAGCGTGCTGTAATATTCGAGATGTTTCCTGTGTGAAATAATTAGCCCTCTATAAATCGATTTAGACCTTATTTGTGTTAGTTATTTACAAATATGCTTCCGTGTTCGAGTGCAGTGTATTTATACTGTTTATTTGGTGCTACCTGCATCGAGTGTTATAGTGATATAGTGTCATTCTGCATAGCCACTTAAAGGTGCATCAGTACAGATATTAGAGGCATATAGTGACATATTCTGTTACACTGGATTAATGTTAATTATTATTTTCTGTACTGCACTGTTGTGAATGATGACAATGAGCATAGTATAGTATTTTTTTATTAATCGGTTATTATTACCATTGTATTATTTCTTTTTCTTTCTCTCTGTTTAGACCACATACACTCAGTTATACAAACTTGTATATTGGCATCCTGATCTTGGAAATAAAGATGATAAAGGATTCTCTGGCCGGAATCTTTCTGTAGTGTTCCCATCCTAAAAAGAACCACTAGTCCATACTTTACAACTCCCATTCTTAAAAAGCCTGGGTGTGATGTGTCTGATCTGTCTAATTACAGGCCAATATCTAATCTTCCTTTTTTGGCGAAGGTTTTGGAACGTGTTGTTATGTCACAACTTCATTCTCACTTGTCCATGAATGAGCTTTTAGAACCTTTTCAATCTGGTTTTCGATCAGGACATAGTACTGAGACTGCCTTGGTCCGAGTTATGAATGATCTCCTCGTCTCTGCTGACTCTGGTGCCCTTACTGTCTTGGTGCTGTTAGATTTGAGTGCAGCTTTTGACACGGTGTGTCACTCTATATTGATTGAGAGACTCGAGACTTGGCTTGGTATTTCCGGTACAGTGTTGGAGTGGTTTAAATCTTACCTCACTGATCGTACCCAGTTTGTCACTTTAGAAAATAATAAATCTAACGTTGGACAGGTATGTCATGGTGTTCCTCAGGGGTCTGTCCTTGGCCCAATACTTTTTAATATTTACATGCTTCCTTTAGGGCAGATTATTAGAAAGCATGGTTTGGGGTTCCACTTTTTTGCTGATGATACTCAGATTTATATTAGCACAAAAACTAATATCACAGGTATATCAGCAACCCTTTCTGACTGTCTGCAGGAAATTAAAATATGGATGTACCATAATTTTCTTAAATTAAATGGGACAAAGTCAGAGGTTCTTTTAGTTGGTACCCCTGCAGCTACCTGTAATGGTGAAAATTTTAATTTGGACATTGAAAATAATGTACTATCTGCATCACCTCAAGTTCGCAACCTTGGTGTAATTTTTGATTCTCATTTAACACTTGAAGCACATATCAAGAGCATTTCAAAATCTGCATTCTTCCATTTAAGGAATATTGCCAGGATCAGGCCTTTTCTTTCATTACCTGATGCTGAAAGGCTTGTCCATGCACTTGTGACCTCTAGGCTTGATTATTGTAATGCCCTTTATCTTGGCCTACCAGCAAAGTCTATTAAGCGACTACAAACACATACAGAACTCAGCTGCACGTGTTCTTGCACACACTCCTTTTCGTCAGCATATCTCTGGTGTGCTTAGGAACCTGCATTGGCTTCCGGTACATGCCCGTATTGATTTTAAAACTCTTATTTTAACGTATAAGGCTGTACATGGAACTGCACCATCATATATATGTGATCTAATTACGCCATATATACCCTCTCGATCTCTCTGCTCCGCCCACTCTTTTCTACTTAAACAGCCTTCTTGCAGACTGAAAACGATGGGTGAAAGAGCTTTCTCTGTGGCAGCCCCCAGGTTGTGGAATGCACTTCCTTTAACTGTTAGGAATACTACAACATTAACGAGTTTTAAGAAATTGTTAAAAACCCATCTTTTTTAAGAAGGTGTTTGTGTCTTAATTGGTGTATGTTAATGTATCTTAATTGTTAATGTATTTACTTTGGTACTGTACTTGTAGCGCTTTGGGTACAAGAAAAGCGCAATATAAATAACATTATTATTATTATTATTATTATGAGATATTGCAAGTACTCACCCTCATGTCGTTCCAAGCCCGTAAGACCTCCGTTCATCTTCGGAACACAGTTTAAGATATTTTAGATTTAGTCCGAGAGCTTTCTGTCCCTCCATTGTAAATGTATACACGGTATACTGTCCTTGTCCAGAAAGGAAATAAAGACATCATCAAAGTAGTCCATGTGACATCTTACGGGCTTGGAACGACATGAGGGTGAGTCATTAATGACATAATTTTCATTTTTGGGTGAACTAACCCTTTAAGTAGCATAATTTGTTAAGTAGCCTAATTAATTGTTAGGTAGGCTAATCTCTCTCACCCTCTTTCTCGACTCTGTGCCTTGAATAGTTTTGAGTTACATTTTGACAAAACCTGTCAGATCTAAGTATTATTATGTTTTTGGTTAAGTTATTGTTTAACATGATTCTTTTTTTATTATTTATTATTTTGGAACAAACGGGTCTCTGTTTAAGAATGCCGGCTCGCAGCTGCAGGTTCCGCTGCTTGAGCACATGTCTTCAAATTTAGCCTAACCGAACCTCCAGTTTAACTGCCACATCTTCTTGTAATAAATATCTCATCGAGGAAAAACACGCTGTATTTTTGAATTTTCATTGCATTTTTAATTTATAAAAAGTTAAATAAATAATGAATTTTAATATAAAAATCTTAATGATTAATCGATAGTCGATCGTCTAAGAAAATTGAATCGAATGGCCATCCCTAATGCACTTTGATGGACTTCAAAACAGAAACTGTCATTCACTGTCATTATAAAGCTTGGAAGAGCCAGGACATTTTTATATATATATATATATATATATATATATATATATATATATATATATATATATATATATATATATATAACTCGCTTGAGGGCGAGTAAATCATGGGGTAATTTTCATTTTTGGGTGAACTATCCTTTTAAACACTTCCAGTGCTATTAATGGCTCACACTGGATTCCTAATTAATCACATTTTAAGCTGTAGTGCAGTATGTGTATTATTAAGCTTATACTGCAGGTGACAAAATGGGCAATTAAATCATTAATAGCAATTATTCGTATGACCAATGTAACCGGTTATTCTGCGTAACCCTAGCTCATCCACGTTTACACATGCTGAGATTGAGTCATGAAGCTCATCTATATAGCTCTGTGATTCACACCATGTGTTCCCTTCACAGCACCATTTCCTATGTCGAGAGCGCGCTCATTCTGTAGTGATGGATCTGATCACGCGCACCAAAGACGCTGTGCGAGAGCTGGACAACCTGCAGTACAGGAAGATGAAGAAGATCCTGTTTCAGGAAACCCTCAATGGCCCCACACAGGAAGGAGGAGAGGAAGAAGAGGTACATCCAAAGGCTTGTCAACCTTTGTCTTTCTCTTCTTTGATCCTTCTATCTACTTCAGCCCATTTTCTGTTCTTTTGTTATATTGTTCTACACTACAGAAATAGGAAAAGATCATGACATGTTTTCTTTTGTATGTGTGTGTAGGAAGCAGAGCAGTACCTCCTGCAGACAGGCACGGTGAACAGTATGGAGAGCTCTCAGTCAGTGCCCTCCATGTCTATCAGCGCCAGCTCCCAGAGTTCCTCAGTCAACAGCCTGGCCGATGGCTCGGACGACAGTGCTGAGATGGCCATGATGCAGGAGGGAGAACAGACTGTCACGTCTAACAGCTCTATTATACACCGCCCCACTGTACGTAATCACAGCGTGAGAACACACAATCCTCAAAAATGTACCTTTCCTTGACTAATTTGTTTTTGCTCATCAGACGCGTGATAATATTTATGACGATCCTTATCAGCCGGAGATGGAGTCGCAGCAGCAGCCGTCGTCGGCCGCTCGGAGGAGGGTGCACAGAAACCGAGACCATTTTGCCACCATCCGCACAGCCTCACTGGTGAGCATCTGACTGACCTGCAGCTCAGAGTCCTTTTTTTTCTTTTCTTTTTTTTTTTGCAGATCTGAAGTTGGGATAGACAACCTTCTCTCTCCCTTTCTTTCCAGGTGACCCGTCAGATTCAGGAGCATGAGCAGGGCTCAGCTCTGAGGGAGCAGATGTCCGGGTACAAGCGCATGAGGAGGCAGCACCAGAAACAACTGCTGGCTCTGGAGAACAAACTCAAGTCTGAGATGGATGAACATCAGCTCAGGCTGGACAAAGAGCTGGAGACCCAGAGAAACAACTTTGGAAGTGAAGCAGACAAGCTGAGTAAGAAACATCAGGCCATCCTGGAAAAAGAGGTGAGGGGTTTAAGAAATTTTTTAAAAATGATATTAGTCTTGTGATTTGCAAGAATGTGACTTTTAGGTAAAAGATGTTTAAATATAATCTCTGATTTAAAAAAGATTCACTATCAGATAGGGAGTAGAGTTAAGTAAAAGTACTTTTTTTTTAAGTTTTTAAGAAAGAAAAATATATACAACAGTTCTAAAAAAAATTTTTAGTTTTTTTTAAAGAAGTCTATTTTTCAACAAGGCTGCATTTATTTGATCAAAAATACAGTAAAACAATAGTATTGTGACAGTTAATAAAATGTATTATTATTATTAACTTTTCTATTTAAATATATTTTCTTTCTGTAATGGCAAAGCTGCATTTTCAAAAGCCATTGCTTCAGTCTTCATTGTCGCATGATGATCTTTCAGAAATTATTCTAATATGCCGTTTTTGTTCAAGTAACATTTATTTTGTCATATTTTGGTGGATTGTTTTAGGATTGTTTGAATTTGTGACATTGTCTTTACTGTCCCTTTTGATCATTTTAATGCAACCCTGGTGAATAAAAGGATTAATTTTCTTTTTTTTAAATCATACTGACCCCAAACTTTTGAACATTTGTGAATGTATTTATATGTATTATTAGTGTTGCTATACATATTTATCTCGTTGTTTTTCTTTTTTTAAGATTAAAGCTGCGCAGACGGAAGAGAAGAAATTTCAGCAGCACATTTTGAACCAGCAGAAGAAGGAACTCAACGGCCTGCTGGATTCCCAGAAACGGCAGTACAGGCAACGCAAGGAGCAGCTAAAGGAGGTACACCCTGTACTTGCACAATATTTATCAACCCCATTACCTATCTTTAACTTGTTACAAACCTCCCTGTTTGTCTAGGGGTAGGAGAGGATGTAACAATTATTGTAAATTAAAATAAATAATAATGATAAATATAATGGGGGGGGGGGGGGGAACTGATGGTCGCTTCAATCCCCTGTACCAGAAAAGCGACAAAATTGACACAGGTCAGTGGAACGGAAAAAGACGAGTCGAGAAAAAGACGCGTTTTTTAAAAGTTGAACTGATTTTAACTTGAGTGCCCCATTTTTAGAACGCTGTGCTATGCGCTAGATGCTGCAAAATTCGTGAGAGCAACGGTCATGCTCGTCCCTCTAGTTGTGTTTACATAGAAAAATAATGGAAAAGTAGCGCATAGGAATGGAAAAACATGTTCCGTGTGAACGGCCCCTAACCCTGCTCTCTGTCTAACATTAATAAAGCAAAATTCCCTACGTATTCCAAATCCAAACAAAATATTTACACAAATTAAGAGTAAAAACAAAATAATAAAAGTAACATAAGAGAAGAACAAGCTCAGCGTTCGCACGCTCTCTTACAGTTACCCAACTCATTCACAAAGTTGAGAGAAAAAGACCGCCTTCGGTTGTACATGTTTACACGAGAAAAGTCACTAAAACAGTGGTTCCCAAACAGGGGTACTTGTCTCCAAGGTGTACGTGAGGTGACAGGGTATGCGAACAAAATGAGTTTTGCCGTTCATTTAATTCTACCCCACCTTAAAATAACATGAAAACCAAGCATGTATTTCTAACAGGCGAAATGCAGTAAATACAAGGCATCTAATCAAATTACCTCATCTTTTGCGGTCAAAAAGGACTGCATCCACACAAGCAGCATGCGTATGATTGTGTGCAGAGGATGCTGTCTGTTCGCGCTTCAATGCTGCTGTTCTCGACAAAGTAGGACTCCTTTGTAAAAGTGGGGATGCTAGCATAAACGAATAGACAGACTGTGCATAGAGATTTATTTAAGACTCGAACTCTTCGTAACAAAAACATCCTGTGTTCTAGTTTTTCATTTTTATGTTTTTCCAAACATCATAACATTAAAGTCCCTGTAAAGGCAATTTCAAAAAAAAATTCTAAACACATTATAAATGTTAGAAATGTATTGCTTAAACATATTACAAAGACTGTGAACTGTGAAGTACTGAATTGTGGAGTTAGACCGTTAAACAGTTTTTCACCATTGCTATTTTCCGGATTTTCTGGGCGGGGCTAAAACAGGGCTCGATGACGCACTGGAGCCCTTGAGCTCATGGACACGCCCCTACTTGATGACGCACTGGAGCCCTTGAGCTCCTGGACACGCCCCTACTTGATGACGCACTGGAGCCCTTGAGCTCCTAGACACGCCCCTACTTGATGACGCACTGGAGCCCTTGAGCTCCTGGACACGCCCCTACTTGATGACGCACTGGAGCCCCTGAGGCTGGCCGCTCCTAACAATATTATAGAGCAGATTCACATCAGTGTGCCGCTCATTCGCGAGTACTGTCAGTACTATAATTAGTAACAGCCTACAGATTGCTAGCTAGCCATGCCTTCGTCACGGAAATGCGTACTACCTGGATGCGATCACCGGATCACGTACAAAACATATCGGTGTCCTTATTTACATTTCCGAAAAACGATTACATCAAGAAGAAGTGGATTAATTTTGTGAAGAGCCACCTTGATGGAGAGCTGAGGATCACCGCCAAAACCCGCCTCTGTAAGTGATCATTTTACACGGGATAGTTTTATAAACTTTCGTCGGAGATAACTGTCTGGGATTCACTGATAATCCGCTGTTACTGGTGAATGGGGCCAAACCGACTCCCGCCTCGGCCTTCATCCTCCCGTCGCGCCGACAACTGGTGCCATCATCGCCAGTGCGTGCCCACCGTGCGAGCATCCATTCCGGCTGTAGAGTCGAGTGTGGCGCGACGGCAGCTTTTCCCGCGAGTGGCCGTGGTTTCAGCGCAGCCAGCGGACACGCCCCCAGCGTTTGAGAGCAGAGATTACTGCTCATTTTTTCAAGATTTTGATAGCTTATTTTATGTACTTGCTGGCTTTTTTTATCATTCAAATTTGGCTGGGTGACTAATAACAGATTTTTCTGTGGTGTGACAAACTCAGAACACATACTTAATTTTGACTTTACAGGGACTTTAAGTGATGTACATTTTAAACAGTATTGTCAGTATTGTTTTCTCTTTTTTGCAACGAAATGAGTTCCAACAAAAGCCACAGCAGAACTACAACACACAGCACAGGGTTCCCGCGGATCCTTAAAAAGTCTTAAAAAGTCTTAAATTAGATTTTTAAAATTTAAGGCCATAAAAAGTCTTATAAAGTCTTATTTTTACTTATGAAAGGTCTTAAATTTTAGATGACACTTTGACTTAGACATATCTAAAAGCTTTCCAAATTAAAACCATCTAATTAGCGTATGTATTTTTATTTATTTATTATTCTATCTTTGTGGATTTGCTAGTTCACGTGACATTTCGCGTCACTCGCGAGTCGCGGCAGCATAACTGTCTCCTGCACGCGAGAGGAGAGAAGGAGAAGAAAGGTCGTAAATGTCAGTTCAGTTGTAAGTTCATTCTTTATGTGCGTATGGTGTGCGATGTGTATTGTCTTTTATGATATTGTAATCATTGTTTTAACAATGTACGAGGCACTGCGAGCTGACATCGCATTTGTCTCTCGTGCTTTCACTGCGTGATGTGTGCAGTGTAACTGTTATGTCCCCAAGTTAGTTTTTGTCTTATATTTATATCATATTATGTTCTTATATTAGAATATCACATCAGAAAGAGTGCCGTTTTCCCGTGCACAATTCCAATTGTGATATTTATGCTATACAACAGTTAAATTAACAATAAGTTAACATTGAGTTACTTTTTAGACACAACATTGTCAATATTGTTTGTTTTCCCTTTATTTCGCCGACTATAATTTCAAAATGAAACCGTAGCAGAGTCTCAATGCAACCGACAGCGATTATTTCTTGACTGAAATCCGCGTTTTGAACGAATCACTTGCTTCTTTCCCGAATGAATCAGCCATTTGAACGAATCGGTTGAATGAATGACTCCCTCAACTCACTTATTAAGACAGTGATTTGCCGCTGCGGTTTCATATTTAAAGTACCCTTTAAATAAAATGTTAAAATTAGAAATCATTTCATATTTAAATATTGAATATTGATTTAAAAATATATATCTCATAGCTTTATTTATGCAGTTGTAAATGGAGTGTAAATAAATTAATGCCACTTCTGATGCCGCTTCTGTCACCTCTGCACTGCAAAGATGGATTTTGATTGAATGATTTAATTTGACTGGTAACAGTGGTACTGTATGATTATTATATAATTAAGTATTATTGTATAATTACTGTATAATTTAATTTGAATGATAGTATTTGACATTAAAGGTGATGCATAACTCTAAATAAGTTTAGAAAAAATGTCCATATATAGGTGAAAATGCCCCTGAAAAAATCAATTTAAGGTGGCAAATATTGCCCCTTAATTAAAATATTAATTTCTGTCACTGCTGTGAACTGACCACTGCATAGAATATGAAAAATATGAATATCTTCGTGAGTCAGCTGTCAACAACAGACCTAAACCAGCCATGGCACCAGCACAAAAAATCAGTAAAATAACATCTAATTATTATCAACAAAATGTTGAAAATATCAATATATATTTTTGTCAATATTGCACAGCCCTAATGTACGGTATTAATTTTGATTTCTTCAGGTCTTAAAAAGGTCTTAAAAAGCCTTAAATTTGACTTTCAAAAGTGTGCAGGAACCCTGCAGCAGTGTTTAGTGAATGAATATGCGGCTTTGAATGAATCGTTCTTGAGAGTTAACGACTCAATTACCCATTTATCAATTCAGCCACTTGCTTTGTTGCTGAATAATTGAATGAATGACTCTGACTCACTCATGTTAAATGCCTCAGGGTATACGCCACTCTAAAAAGTTTGGGAACCACTGCACTAAAAGATCACAATTCTAGATCAGGAAAAAGAGTGAAGCCCAATAAGCAGCCTGCGAAAGGGAGAGAGAAAGAAGAGAGCAAGTATGCAACACATAACACGCCAAATATGTAGTGTCATTGTCCCGAAATCGCACGCGTATTACAAATACGTCCACACACGTAACACTTTCTTTTACCACCCTAAAATCCTTCCCCATGGCAACAGGAGCTGAATGAGAACCAGTCCACACCGAAGCGAGAGAAGCAGGAATGGCTGGTGAGGCAGAAGGAGTGTATGCAGCAGATCCAGGCTGAAGAAGAGGCTTCTTTATTGCGGCGACAAAGGCAGTATTACGAGCTGCAGTGCAGACAGTATAAAAGGAAAATGCTGCTCGCGAGACACAATCTGGAGCAGGACCTGCTTAGAGAGGTGAGACGCACATGAGTTATTGTGTGCTTTTCCCTTTCTTTGCTTTCTAAATCACTTTTTTTGCCCTTTTATCTATTCATCTCTTTCTATGCATAATCCATCCTTTTTTGTTTTTATTTGTCCCTGTAGGACCTGAATAAGCGTCAAACCCAGAAGGATCTGGAGTGCGCCATGTTGTTGAGACATCATGAGTCCACTCAGGAGCTGGAGTTCAGGCAGCTAGCACTGGTTCAGCGTACTCGGGCCGACCTGATCCGAACACAGCACCAAAGCGAACTGGCCAATCAGATGGAGTATAATAAGCGGCGTGAGCAGGAACTCCGTCAGAAACACGCTGTGGAGGTCCGCCAGCAACCTAAAAGCTTAAAGGTGTGGATAGCTTTTTTACGTGCTTGGTGGGGTATTTTTGTCCCATTTTGATTTTACATTCTTCACATGATGAGAATAATAGTGCATCATATTTGTTTCATAAATTCAAATTGAATTGAATTTTAATTTAAAGGGCATTCTGAATTCAGTTCTTAATGCCACATAACTCTGTTGTACACCAATTGATTTCTGTTAAGAAAATACTAATTTTGGCAGCTGCAAGGATGAGATTCCACAAAGGGCTTCTGTTAAACCCAACTGTCTAAGTGGCCATGGCTCTACACCTGATGAAACATTCCCGTGATGTAAAAACACACCAGGATGCATGTACCTTTGCATAATTTGTTTTTGTCTTCAAAATGGAAAAACAAAGAAACCGTTTATCTATCACATATTTGACCCTTCTCATGAACATAAGCCGCTTTCCGACCGGAGGGATTTTTGCAGTTCCTAGAACCTAACGTTCTTATAACCTTATTTTAAAGTTTTTATTTTAACTTTATTTTCGTGTTCCGACCGGACTAAGTTGGGGATTTTTTTAGTTCCTCGGACCGTAGTTCCTATAAGTCTTTCAGTACCTAGTCTAGAGCGAGGACTTTTTTAGTTCCCTTTCCCTAGGTCTACGTTGATTGGTTCAACTTATAAGCCCACTGTCAACATGGAACTTGCAGCGTGCTGTCTGCCATACCGGCTATGTGTTTCTTCACTGTCTGTTGCAATTCGCCTATGTATGCTAACTCATAACTTAAGACAATCATAACGCATTCAACCAGCTAATTGCTAATGCTAGCTAAACTTACCCGTCGTTTTGTTTGCCTCCTGCGCTCTGCTCTTCTATCTTCTTCCATCATATTACTTAAGATCATATTCCCGCTGGAGCCTTCGTCTTCTGTGTTTCTCTGAACAGGAACTCAAGCATAGTCTTTAAACGCAGCCGTTCGTACTCGTACTATTAAGGTCCCGGCAAGGCAGAACAGGAACATTCCGATAGCCTCCTCCATGCTGGTTTGTTGTTGTTGTATGTGGCCGCACTACGTCTAGTGATGATGCCATAAAGACCGTCGCCATGCTTGCGTCACTCCCTTACCCCTCCTACCAGTTCCTATGGCCACCGAGTTTGGGGGAGAGTAGTTCTTAGAACTGTTTAGAAGTGGACACAGTTCCTATAACTAAGTACCTGTAACTACTTGGTCGGAAAGCGGCTATAAAGTAATCTTGTTTTTTTCCCTTTATATTTAGATTTTTGTTTTCATTATACTTAGTTCTAATTTAACAAATAGAAACATTATAAATCCAAAATGGATAAACAGCTTGAATATTCGATCTCTACATGGGTGGAAATGAAACACCCCTTTCCACTGATTGGTCAAATAAACATCAAACTTTGCCGTCATCAGTTGTTTATCAGTTCCTTACAACAGAATATTTTATCAAACGATTAAAATATTTAATCGCATTATGTCATAGTTAACTCGCGATTAAGTGCACATATTTATTTATTCTTAATGTCTCTTGATTGCTTTTTGTCCCATTATTTTTTCTCATTTTAATGCTCTTATCAACATGGAAAAGTGGATTGGCTTGCTTTGTGCAAATGTTTTTTTTATTGAAAACAATATTGGCATGTACTGTAGTGTTTAATTTGACACTAACATTCACACTTGGAGCAAATAATCTTTACACCATGTAACACTGTCCATCAATAAAAGGGTGAAAAAATACTTTGTCACACAAACAGCCCTTTCTAAGGGATCAAAACAGGGCGATACAAAATAAAATTACAAAGTGCACATGTAAGGTAAACTAGGACTCAGCCTATAGTGCAGTTAAACCATGGTTTATTGCTTTATTTTTCTCAAGTTTGCTTTGAACATAGCAGTCAGGCTACTGCTCTTTATTCACTAGAGGCTCATCAATCCAGCCTCTTATTACAGAAAGAATGAACAGTAGTGGTGCGTTCACACCAAACGCGAATAGAGCGTCTGGCGCGAGTGATTTCAATTTAAAGACTGGTTTACTCTGCTGCGCGAAAGAGGCGTTTAGCGCTGCGCGGTAGACGCGAATTCGCCTCATTCGCGCGTCCAGTTCGCAAGAATGACGCGAATAGAGCCTCTGGCGCGATACGCGCTAATGATTTTATTTGGGGCATTAACGTGTTTGACGCGAATTCAATGGAAACATTTGGCAACTTTTTAAAAAGTAAACTTTCCATTTAGAATCTTTTTGGCATCCATTTCGGCGTCTCGCACTCGCCATCCACTCAAAACGTAACGTTACCCTACTATTTGGCCGGCTCAAAAGCCCAAACAAGTGTGTGTGGTGTGCCTGTTGTTTTGATTCTGGTCAAGCTAGATCTGGTGTGGTGTTGTAGTTTTCTACGTTCTACTAGAAACAACGTTTCTAGTTGTTGTAATAGCATGTGAAAAAAACTACAAAGTTTGTTAGGCCAAAAAGAACGTTAATCTCGCGATAAAAAATTGACGCCGTTAAAATGGGTTTGTGTTAACGCCGTTAATAATAACGCGTTTAACTGACAGCACTAAGTATTAATTGATGTAACTTCCTAAGAAACGTCACAGAACTGTTGTGCGAGTGTAGGGGCACAGACTGGTGTTTCATTCCTGAATGAGTCCGAGTCTTTGAACAAATCTGTTGATTGAGTGATTCAATGACTTCTATAGACAGCCACTTGATTTTTATTCCTAAATAAATCTGCGTTCTGGCATTATTCTCATTACATTATGCAATTGCAGTGTAAATGCATTTCCTGCCCCAGCATTAAACCGTAAATGCATCTAAAACCAACTTCAGATGGAGCTTCTTTGCCACTTCTTTAGTGCAAAGATGACTTGTTGATACAGATTTAATTGGTGACAGCCTATAGTGTCATCTGACTCAATTTAAGAATTTAACATTTAGGATTACATAAATATTTAATATGGTTAGAAAAAAAATCCTTGAAACCCATGAAAATCTATTTGAAGGGCAAGTATTTTCCCTTATTGGGAAAGTTAATTTTTTGACAGTGATGGCAATAAATGTAAAAATACTCTTTATCTCTGGCTGTATAGGTCAAAGTGTTATTTCAAAGTGTACATTTGAATCGATACTGGTCTGCGCTTCACATCAATGTAGCCAAAATGCATCTGTCCAGTACATTGTGCAGCTTTGTCACAGATTTTTATAGTAGTTCAGCTAAATAAAACAGGCAGTGTACCAAATATGTAGGCTAGGGCTGCATCTAGGCTGTGGGTGCAGATGCGAAGTAAATTAATATTTATGAGATGAACTAATTTCATGGCACGCATTGGTGATTTTATGTCTACACAGAAGAAAGCCTTGTCTAGGCTCTGCCCCAGAACAGTTTGTGTCAAGCCATTCATTAGTCTACTTGTTTGATGAGTGTGGTGGCAAACAATTTTGTGGTGTGATGGCAAACAAAAAGAGATGAAATTCAGTTGCAATAAACGCTTTAAGAACCCGTACAACTGTAGCAGCGGATGACTATTATTCTGTTGCGTAGAACTGATGAACAACTGATGACGGCACGGTTTAAAGTTTAGTTGACCAATTAGTGGAAAGGTGCGTTTCATTGCCTGCCATGTAGAGATCCAATATTCAAGCGGTTTATCCATTTTGTTTTTATTGTGTTTCCATTTGGTGAATTAGAACAAAGTGTGATGAAAACATAAAAATATGAAAAAATGACAAGATTGGTTTATTCATGTTCAAGAGAAAGGTCGAATATGCGATCAATGAATGGTTTCTTCGTTTTCCCGTTTTGAAGACAGTTAAAAAAAACAATTATCCGAAGGTGAAGTTTTTTTGAATGTCGACTTGCCGTGACTTGAGTCCTCAAATATGTTTCTTGTTTTTTGTTCTCTCAGACGAAAGAGCTCCAGATCAAACGTCAGTTCCAAGACACCTGTAAGATTCAGACACGGCAATACAAAGCCCTGCGGAACCACCTGCTGGAGACCACGCCCAAATCAGAGCATAAAACCGTACTGAAGAGACTCAAAGAGGAGCAAACACGTAAACTGGCCATCTTGGCCGAACAGTACGACCATTCCATCAGAGACATGCTGTCCACACAGGCTGTGAGTAAGGCAAGGAAAGACCATCTTTAATGCTTTTTTTTTTTATTTAAAAATGTTTTTATTGGTGTATACTCTCAAACTGATGTGCAGTTACAGAATAATGTATGCATACATTTACATGCATGGGTCAGTTTTAACAAAAATGGACAAGAACATGTCCAAATCATGTTTCACCCCGAAATCAAAAGAATAATTTTTTATTCTCAGTCGGATATTCTTGTGTTTTTTTTAATCTGCATAAAATAAAGGCAGTTAACAAATACTATTAATAAAATAAAATAAAAATTCATTACAATAATGTAAAAATGAACAGACAAATCTAGTGGTCCTTAAATAAATTCAGTATCTCTTCTTTTAATTTTAAAGTGAAATATGATGGGGAATGTTTTTGACTGGTTTTGGGAGGTTTGCCTACTTATAATTAATCAACAGATCCTGAAACCTCCATGTCAGACCTAAATCTCTTTATTGGCTGCTTCTCTACTGATGTCACACCTTTTTGTTTTCCCACCAGTTGCGATTGGATGAGACGCAGGAGGACGAGTACAGAGCACTGCGCATGCAGCTGCAGCAGGAATTGGAGCTGCTAAATGCCTATCAGAGCAAAATAAAGATGCACACAGACACACAACACGAGAGAGAGGCCAAAGACCTGGAGCAGAGGGTGTCTATACGGAGAGCTCTTCTTGAGCAGAGGGTGAGAGAGAGAGAAATTGAGTGAATATTACTGGTGAATGTTTTATGATGGCTCTGTTCTAAAACTTAATGAGCTGCTGTAATATTTACAGTACCTTTTAAAAGTTAGGGATCTTTAATACTTTTCAGAAAGGATGCATGAAATTTATCAAAAGTGACAGTAAATATGTTATAAAGACATTTATAATGTAATAAAAGATTCCTATTTCAAATAAATGCTGTTGTGTAAAAAAAGTATCAAGGTTTCCACAAAAATATTAAGCAGCACAACACTTTTCAATATTGATAATAAGACCGATTTCTTGAGCACTAAATCATCATATTAGAATGATTTCTGAAGGAAATTCAGCTTTATATCAAAGGAATAAATTACATTTTAAAACATTAAAATAGAGCAAGTATTAGACTTATTGCAAAAACATTTATATTGCATCTAAAGCAGAATCCTAATTGAGAATTGACTGATTCTCAGTGACTGATTTAAAATGCTTTACATAGGCAACAACTCCTTATTTAAATAGTACAAAGACACCGGAAACTCAACTCGAAACTAATTTCAGTAAGCTGACACTGATACTATGAGCATCAAAAGACATGCGATGTGTCTTCTAATTTGTTCTCTTTCTGTCACCCTTTTGGGGGGTTTTTTTTTCAGATCGAGGAGGAGATGTTGTCGTTGCAGAACGAGCGTTCTGAGCGAATCCGGGCTCTGCTCGAGCACCAAGCTCGAGAAATCGAGTCCTTTGATTCGGAGAGCATGCGCCTGGGCTTCAGTAACATGGCTTTGAGTGGAATCCCTGCTGAGGCTTACAATCAGGGCTACCCCAACCCTCCTTCCTCCGGCCCTGGGGGCTGGCCGTCCCGTCCTGTGCCTCGTTCAGGCAGTCAGTGGAGCCATGGCGTCCAAAACTCAGCGGCGCCGCCCTCCTGGCGAAGTCAGAACAGTACAGCCGGGTTCAGCCGAGCGGAGCAAATCTCCAGCCGGGAGAGAGATCGAGAGAGGGATTTAGAGGGAATGGGTGCCCGTGGCTTTCCGAGCTCTCGCTCCTCTGCCTCGTCTGCATCGTCGTCGTCGTCGTCCTCGCATCATCACCTCCGCTACATACCGCAGCATTACCACCACCAGAGTACACCACACCTGTACCGCGACAACCGAGAGAGGGAGTGGGGAGGTGGTGGAGGAGGAGGTGGTCACCACTCCTCTTCATCCTCCTCTCATGGCCACTCGCATCACATTTCTTCCCATGGCTCTTCCCAATCCCTTGCTCTCCTCCCTCCACCTCCTCCTCCTCCACCCATCTCACTTTCCACATCTTCTCCCCAGTCCTCCTCCTCCTCTTCCTCCTCTCAGAGTGGCTATGGTGGAAGGGGCGAGGGCCTGGCTGTGAGGGGCCCCAGCCTGATGGCTCTGAGAAACAGTCCAGGACCCCTTCGGAGAACCGCCTCGGGCGGAGGTGCCGGTGGGTCGGGCGGGGACGGAGGTTTGAGTCGGAGTACATCAGTGACGTCGCACATCTCCAACGGATCCCACCTCTCCTACTCGTAGAAAGTCAGACAGGAAGTTCAGAACATTTTGCGGGCTTTAGCAGGGGAGAAAAGCCCTTGACGTAGCTCGTTTAGGAGTTAAACGGAGACGAGGAGGAAAAAACGTATTTAGATGGTCAGACCTTTACTTACAAGAAGATAGATCTCAGGGTTTCCGGGGGATAGTGATTCGGGAGGGCTCAGGGTTTAGATCGGGAACAGAAAAGACGAGATGTACTGTTACAGGAGCAGAAAGCTATACTGTTGAGTGTGTGGGAGAGAAAGGATGAAAATAACACAAGTGGTGCCAATGCTGTAGATTGGGCTCATCCTTAACTGGTCCATTTTAGTTTTATTTTATTTTAAACGGTCAGACAGACCCATTGAATTCTGCTCTTTCATGTCCAGGAATTTTCTTGCACGTCTAAAGGTTGAAGATTTGAACTTTTTACAGATATTATTTTATGCTTAATCCTGGTTCATGTTAAGCTGAATTCATTTTGTGCAATTCAAGGGTTTCCTTTTTAAAAGAATAGTTTGCCAAAAATGAAAGATCTGTTATTATTTACTCTCTCTCTCATGTTGTTCCAAACCCTACATACTGTTATTTTTTTCATAGAACACAAAAGGAGAGTTTTTGGAGGATCTTTTAAGCAGCACTTTTCTATGCAACAAGAGTTCTTAGGACTTCAGAGTTTTCTGAAGCCACTTGAATGCTTTGTTTGAGCAGATCAAAATTTGGGTCTGAAAAATAATAGTACATTCATGAATCCAACAACCGCTTGGATTTTCATGCGTCAGAACCGAATGTAGTTCACTTTGTCTTTTTTTTAGAGCTGTGAACCTGCGTTATTTGGAAAAGAGCTGCTTTAAAGGGAAAGTTTACCCCAAAAATGAAAACTCTGTCGTCATTTACTCGCCTGCATGTCGCCCCAAACCCATACGACTTTCTTTCTTCTGTGGAACATAATAAAATATATTTTTAGAACATTCTTTAAACATTCTTGTTTTGCTGCAGAAAGTAAGTCTGCTTTGACATGACAGAATTTTCATCTTTAAGCTCTTTCTAATATCTCTGTGTTTTGCAGATAAATAACAAAATACAGGTTTAAAACGACATGAGGGTGAGTGAATAATGGCAGAATTATTCATTGACTCTGAGCGTCTCTTGAGTTTGAGCCAGAGGATGAGTCCTTTTCAATTTTTACTGCTAGCGAGCGAGTCGGATGCAATAGAAGGTGCTGTAGCATGTGCAGAAACTTGTGGAAGGGAGAAGAGGTGTAAACTGAGGAACTAAAAGGGTGATTGAACTGATTTTTGTGTAATTATGTAGATAGTACTAAAACAATACTAAAAGAACATCAATCATTGATGGGTTTTAAACTGTACATTTGTATTTGAGTCAAGGATGGGAGGCAGTTTTTTTATTTTGAAATGATTTTCGTATTCTGTATTCTTTTGTTTATTTTTTTTAAACAATGCCACACGTTATACTGCCATCTAGAGGCTCAACTGACCTAAAGCAACTCCGCCCACTGTCCTTATAAGGGCAAGCTGCCATTTAAGTTGTGTTTGGTTTAGGTTTAAACTGGGCTGTCATTCAGTGTCTGTTTTTAGCATAGGTGTGCTAAGATTACTTTTAAAAAGAGATTGAACCTGGCTAGGTGAGTAAGCCATCTCCTTGACTATAAATGCACACTGTGTAAATATGATGTACATGTCCATAAGAGAGTTTGGTTACAGGTTTCTGTGCATGAGAGTGATGTACTGAGACCATTTGTATACAAACATACACCACAGACGTTTATATGACTTTAAGTATATGTGTATAATACATCTCCTGTGGTAGGGTTGACGGGGAAAGTCATCAGGTTGTTTTCTGTTCAACACTTTTGATCTATATTGTACTTATACAACGTGTGTATATACAAGCACTAACTCTTATTTAGGGTAATAATAATTTTGCTATGTGAATTGGAAAGTGGGACATAAAAAATAGATACTGTCATTATTATTACACCTACTACTACCACTGCAATATTTGTGTTGTACACTAATTTTTCTTTTTACAATTTCTTTTTCTCTCTTTTTTTTAAAGACAGGTTTTTTTTATTTTATCAATGCTTACCACTAGGTGGGAAATGTTGGCAGTGTCACAGTGAGAATTTTGAGTCTCGTTTTAGATTAAAAAATTAAAAAGGACTACCTATCCCAGCATTCCTTGTTACATCTCAGGCTAGGAGTCTTTTGTGCAGTGCGTTGTCAGGAGAGTAGTATTTTAGAGCCAGTATTAAACTTGTACAGAACATTTTAAGAGATTTTAGCTGTATAGAACATTTCTAGACGACTGTAAAGTGTCTCAAACACCCCCCCACCCCCCTTTCTCCCTCCATCTTATGTTCTGGAATGCACTACTTTCGTTTTTGCTTACTAAATTTGTATGTATAAAATGGACACAAGGCAACACAAGCTGTTTACATTGACAACCAAAATCTCCAGCATACCCTTAAGAACATGGTGAGAGATGAAGCTAGATTTTGCCAGTTACGTTGTTATTTTAGTTTTAAAAACCCGAAATCTTTTGTGCTCCCACACTGCCAGCTCTCTTTAGACACCAGCGTTCACTCGGACTCTCCCTCGGCCTCCTGAACCAAGGAGACATGCAGTACCTCACTTCCCTGTGCCTGGCCAACCTTTTTCAGTGTTCACTTCACATCGCCTCCCCGCCCATCACCACATTCCCTTATGTCCTTTCTTGCTTGGTTACTAACATCTATGGACAGAAGAGGAGAAAAAAATCCTCAGCCCATCTGTAACTCTGGGCTATCATATAATGTGTTTACAGCAACACATGCTGGATTCTTATTAGTGTATCCTCTTTTAGGGGGTGTTTCAGTATCTGGTGGTAGTAACTTGAGGTAAATATATGAAATTACTTTCATCATCCTGCAGTGTTTAAAGGACTGGAGCTATAAGGGTGCAAAGACTATTGCTGTTGCAGATGTGTGGAAAAGTGTGTGTAGCCTGCGCTGAAATGTATTGCAAAATTGTGATGTTTGAAAGGCTGATGGAGAGCATGGTTGTTCAGGGAGCTCAGAAAAAAAGGCCAAATTACATTCAGGTGAAATGATTACAGGAGAACTCTTTAACACATGGGTTATAGAACTTGTACAGAAAATGATTAACAAGTCATTAAAAAGGATACAAACAAAATTACCTTTCCTGTGTGATCTGTCTGGACTAATGCACACTTTGTTTTCAGCACTTCTAGCCTGTTTTCTGAATGATGAGAATGTGCATCTGCCATGCATAGACACCCTGGTGATGTTGAAAGTAGAGGAAAGACCGTTTCCATAGAGACAGAGGCCATACTAAGTGGAAATTACTGGTTGCTTACAAAAAAAAGACACATGTTTGTTCTGGTGTAGAGCTATTTTTAGTCCTAGTCAGCAAATGACTCCAATTTATTGGATGTTTTGCGGTAATATACTGTTTTAAATCTATTTTTCTGCTGTTCTTGTTTAAATGGCATTGCTGTTAAAACGGCTAAACAACAGATACAGTTGGTAACTTACAAGCTAGAAGAATTTCCGACCTGATAAGTCAACGTGTGGCTTAAGAGTTTGGAGATGTTCCTAACATTGTAAGAATGTTCTTTTTTTTTAGTTTTTGTTGTCTATTGTTGCTGCATTTTTTCTTACTTAATATATAAAACTTAATAAAATAATACTAACTTGACAAAATAAGTGCCCCATATGCGGATTTATTTAGTGATGACTAACTGACAGTACACTATAAAAAAATGATCGTGATTTTAACGGTAAAAGACAAAAAAAAATGCTTCGGCGAAAAGCTGTTAATTTAAGTTTTCTATATAATCTGTAAAACCTAAAATGTTGCTTGCGTCTTTTATTTTGCGGTAAATTTAACGGATTTTTACAGTGTATTTCGGCAACCACTGTTAATAGATGAGACTTTCGATAGATAAATCACAATGATGAAAGTAAGACGGTGGAAATGTGTAATATGCTGAAAAAATCTAATGCTTTACTAATTAGGTTTTCATTGCCGTTATTATACCACTCACTGTCACAGTGCTGTGACACACAGCTGATTTGGGGTCAGCAGTGGGTCGTGTCACGTGATGCTTTTGGTGTCACCGAGGTTAGAGCGCGTGCCAATTAAAGGGGAGGATTCCTTTGACGACGTGCGCGCGTACTGGACATCATGACGTCACGCGCCACGCTCAACTACAGGGAAATAGAAAGCTGGAAGAGACATTTCAGGGATCCGTCCAAATAAAAGCGCTCGTTACCATGACCGAAGAAAATATCTTCCTGTTCGTCCCGAATTTAATCGGTGAGTCAATCGAACGAGTTATAACGAGCGCGGATCGTCAGCGCGCGACAGAGTTCTGCGCACGTTTAACCGCGGCTGCCTGACTGATAATAGTTATTTCGTTAAAAACATGTATATAAAGGTCACGTATGTTTTGTTTAAATATGCGTAGAGTCTGTACAACTGTACTAGCGTCTAGTCTGCATGATCGTTGTGTTTTACAGCGGTTGTTTTGACTTCCTGCGGATGTTTGACATGATGCTATTGGCTGTCACTGCAATGCACTAGACTGAGTGAATCACATTAATCCACTAATAGTGCTGTCAATGTAGTATAAAAGATTTAAAGTCGACATGAAACACAAATTCACCCTTTGTTATACATGCATGTTGTGAACAATTTAATCCGTGTGCAGGTTTATTTTTTTCTTTCTTGACCTCGTAAGGTTTATTCAAAATGTCTTGACTTCTCTCTGGTGACATTTGCAGGACTTCTCCAATTATTTAGTCTGCTTAAAGTTGCCCCATTATGCTTTTTCCCATATCACCATCTGACCAGTCAGAGCAGACGAGTTTAGAGAGACTGAAACCTTTATCGAACATTTTCAGACACTGTGCGAAAAGAGGTGATTCTGCAATATATATTATGATTAAAGTGGTTTTGTAGTGGCACATCATTGGGGCTCTTTAAATTCTGCATATAGGGTAAATACAGGTTGAATGGGACACTTTTTCAAAATGGGGAAAAAGTGTCCCAATCAACCTGAATTCACTTCTATCTGCCTCCACTTTTGAGTGCAATGCACACATCTCAAAAACAATAATCAATATTACTTCCTTTCCCTCTTGCAGACACCTCTTCTCTGGTGAAGTTTTTTGACCCGAGACCGGGACAACCTGTCACTTACATTATATCACAAAAATAGCAAATCACAACGATCCAATCAATTTCCACCCTACATTTTTTTTTTCTTGTTCAAGAAGCCGTATCACTCAGATATAGGCTACATCACGATAGGGAAGAAAAGACTATAGCTACTTCTGTTTTATGCCAACATTAATTCGTAGTACCCGTGTATGCGTGTACTCTCCTCCTTTTCATATGCAATCTTTTCCACACTTTCAATAGGATATGCCCGTATTGTACTGGCTCTGGTATCCTTCTACTTGATGCCCTGCTGCCCGGGTCCGGCTGTGTTTTGTTACCTACTGAGTGCCCTTTTGGATGCCTTCGATGGACATGCTGCCCGCGCTCTTAATCAAGGTAGTGATCTGCAGCTCTGTGTTGTACGTTATTCCTCTTTTTGTGCTTTGCTCACTCTTTGTACCCATCCCTGCCTTTTCCTTAGGTACAAAGTTTGGTGCCATGCTGGACATGTTGACTGACCGTTGTGCCACCATGTGTTTGCTGGTGAATCTGGCACTGCTGTACCCATCCTACACTTTCCTGTTTCAGCTCAGCATGTGTTTGGACGTGGCCAGCCACTGGCTGCACCTGCACAGGTTGGTCCAATATTTCATCCAATAAAGGCATAAGGTATTAGTCCTAAAAAAACAATGCATTTTTGAACTTCTGGTTCCATTGTCCCAAGGTCGATGTGTTTTTTGAATGTGTTTTTTTTTTTTTTGGTGAACAGCTTGAAATAAGGTCTGTGGTTGACCAGCTCAAGATATTTTCACATTTTATACTACATAAAATACATAAGTAATAGAACAAAAAAGAATTGAAAAGCTTTTACATGTTTTGAAAAAGGCAGTTGCTGACAAGTGGCTAAATGGGGAAACTGAGGTTGTCGGGACATTAAATGTCATCATGCTGAACAGGATAACACATCTACTCAATAGTCTGCTTTTACAGCCTTGTTGTGTGTATAATCACATTCTTGCTAACATTTTTAACTCAAACTTTCCAGCTTGTAGATTTTAATAAAAAACTGAAAGAGTTGTCGGACACTTAGTGGTGACAATAAAGTTATACCACTGTGTTGTACTTTGTTTATAGCTTAACATTAGCTTTTCACTTCTGCCGATTTTATTAAGGCTTCAAAATTCATAAAAGTTGGGTTTATTTGTAAAGATTATCATGATGAACAAAATGTGTAAGGGAATCATGAACTTTTGTTGGTCACAGAGCTTATTTCAATGGAAAATAAATCCTGTTTTTGCCGAGGGAACCAGGGTGATGCTAACTTCCGGATTGACCTACAAAATTACATCATTCCTGCATAACTCTATGGCCACGTACACACTCAGCTAAATTCGGTTTTCAATTCACCTTAGTGTTTAAAGGGGCTATGTGTAGGTTTTTAGTTAAAAAACATATTTAAGATAGAGTCTTCATTTGTACATTTATGAGCCAACCATAATGCAATAGAAAGAATGACACCTTGACTGTCCACCACGGTTGCCTCTATCAGCCTGTAGGCTCAATTGTGTGTGGAAGAGTCGGGTCCGAAGTGGCGTGAAAATTCACAAAATGTGTCGTCATGCGCGTTCTCGTCTACTTGGGCTTACATCCGTGCGGCAGCCATTAGTAAGCAACGGCAATCGCTAGCAGTAGTGTTTCAAATGGACTCTGCGGACGGAAAGAAGCGACCAGCCTCCAGCACAATCCAGATACCCACGGAAACTCAAAGAAAAAAAGCCTTATCTAGTGCAGCCAGCCGAGAACGAGCATGAGACTGGCTGCAGTTTCTCTAACGGCCACTGGTGTCAGTAACGGTAAGAAATTTCAGAACTTCCGCAATGCTCCTTTAATTCTGTTCTGTGCACACACACAGTTCAGTCATTTAAGGGAGTGACAACCCCTTTTAAGGGAGTGACTTATTTGTATTGAAGAACAAGTATTGGAAATTTGTATTGGAAATAAGTAGGGCTGTCAAATGATTAATCGCGATTAATCGCATCCAAAATAAAAGTTTGTGTTTACATAATATATGTGGGTGCATTGTGTATAATTATTATATATATATAAATACACACACATGCTTGTATATATTTAAGAAATATTTTCATGTATATACTGTATATAGATTTATATATAATTTTTATTATATATAAATATAAATAGTTTAGATATAAATAATATTTTTTTCTTAAATATACATGCATGTGTGTGTATTTATATATAAATAAAATAATTATACACAGTGCACCCACATATATTATGTAAACACAAACTTTTATTTTGGATGCGATTAATCGCGATTAATCATTTGACAGCCCTAGAAATAAGGTATTGCGGTCCACAGTTGCCCCCTTTATTCATTCCATTATAAACTGTTTTGCTTTATGAGCCAGACCTAAAACAAGCAGCCCACAAATTCTTATTATAAGAGGACATGGCAACACTTCAAGAGCGCGCTCTGCGAAGCAGCCTCCCAAGCATAAACAAAACGCGACACCTCTGTCAACGGTGGTTTGGTTCAAATGAAGTCTTTGACAGCTGTAATATTATCTTGGTATTAAAATACGGTAGTATATACCAAATGCGTGAGAGGCCAGAACATTGCTATGGTTACCGATGTGTCAAGCATTGCTATTTTGGGAGTGAGTTGTGTTCCGTACACACACAAAACAATCATTTAGAGGATTAACTGCCGTATTTAAGCTATTCACTCCTGAAACTTTACAATGTGTACGTGGCCTATAAGCACCACCTGATATGTGAATACATAAAGCAGTTGATTCAAGACCGTACTTAGAGGCTTAGAAATCTCTCTTTATGTTTACAGATGATCTCACCCCAAGCTGGTACACATAGGCATAGGCTACATAGTCATTTTGTCTAGACTGGCACTGTTCACTTGTGCAACATGGGACGCCACTGCAACCCCCGCACATAGCTCTCTGATGCACGCTACACTTGTCTAATTGCTCATTTTTGCTGTCTGCTTTCATTCCTGTGAAATTGCCAAATGAAATGCGCCTCCATTACTGATATAATACTACTGACAATGACAAACAATTGCAGTTTTATTGTTTAAAAAGTCTTGAGCTATATTTGAAAGCACAATCTCTCACATTTATTGGAAGAATTATACCTCTAGACCCCCGGTATTAAAAAGATTTAGATTTACATTGTAACAATTTACATTAATCCTTATTAAAATCAGTAATTTGTTAGATGCATATCAGAATATTGGTTAATGTTCATTTCAAATAATCAGAAATTATTTTATATATCTATGGATCTCCACTGACCCCTAGAATTCAGTTTTATTATTTAATTTATTTATGCATTTTATAGTAAATGTACCTATGCATAAATCGTTAAAGTTGGCATGAAATGGAAATGGAAACCTTATCTATTTTGCAAATGCATTTTAATGATCTTACTAGCTGTGATTTTTCTTCTTTCTTTTAGTTATCAAAATCAATAACCAACACTAATAGATTATGTAATGCATTTCAGAACATTAGAATATTAATGTAGATACAAATAGTAAGAAATATAAATAAAATAAAAAACTTAATTGATCTCCACAGACTTCTAGAATCCCAATTTTATAATATATTGAATGTGTTAATATATTGTATTCAATTTATGTGACCTACATAAATCGTTGTAATAATATGGGTGTGTCTTTTTTCTGGTTCTTTTGTTCCAGTTCCATGATGAAGGGAGCAACTAGTCACAAAACAATTGACCTCTCTGGAAACCCCATCTTGCGACTCTACTACACATCCAGGGTAACATCCTCACTCACTCTCATTCATTCACACAGTCAGGAAGTCCCATCAAAAGCTTAATGGGTTGTTCTTAAAGTATGCATGATATCTAGTGAAGAAGTTCACATGTACTGGCTGTTCTGACATCAGTGTTTTTTCCACAGCCGGTGCTGTTTTTTATGTGTATGGGGAATGAACTGTTCTTCTGTCTGCTTTACATAATGTACTACATCGAGGAACCCCAGGGTGAGAATCAGCAGGCTCTTTCTTACTGTCTTGCTTTATTATTTCACTATTGTCCCTCTTTCCTTTTGTCAGTTTTAATCATTGAAGTAGTGTTGAATTCATATGTACACACTACAACAAAGTTAAAGGACACAGATTACATTTGACTAAAATATTGGTTGCATCATATTTTTGAATGACTTCTCTCTTTCTGTCCAGTGTGGCTGCAATGGCTGCTGGGAGTTTGTGCCGTGGTCTCTCTGCTGAAGTCTGGCATAAGTCTCCTCCACCTCATCACCGCCTCCCGCAACATGGCTGCTATCGATGTGGCTGACCGTGAGAGAGAGCGGAGCAAAGCACAATGATAGATGAGAGGATACACAAACCAAGAAAACAGAGACGAAGGCAGAGAGAAGATGATGAGCAGAAAAAGTGTTATGAGAACATCGGCAAGTATAGATGAGGATGAGATCATGGAAATCAATCATGGGACCTTGCAAAGTCTCACTGACCATTTATATTTGTTTGAATATAGATTATCAATGGCATGATACCAGGGGAAAATACCTTACAAGTTACATCCATATTCCTGTAGTTGTAATAGTTTCCCATTTCTGTTGATGGAACTAGTTGCACTATGAGTGTACCATATTTATATCATCTTTGGGGTGTCATATTATTTTTATTTATTTGTTTGGTTGTTTTATTTGTTAATTGAATAATCATGCATATTTTTTATGGGATTTAGAGTAGCTCTGCTGTTTAAAAGCAACATTTCCAAATAGCATTCACATAAAAGACAGACACATTCCACACTTCAACTGAAAGTCACTTGAGTGTCACTGTATTTGGTGTTTGTTTTATCATTAGTTGTGTGGTATTTAATTATTTCTGTAAATGAGCCTGTTTTTTATTAGACGTCTATGTTTTTGTTGCAGGTCTATCAAAGAACATTTATCTGTTTGAATATTAGTTTGAAGAGTGTGAAAACATTATTATATTATACAAGTGGCTCGGCCATTAATTTTGTCCAAAGCCTTCTGAATGTATTATTGGGCTGTGGTAGAGAAGTAGACATACTGTTTTAGAGCTGTTGTTATATAAATTATCAGAATTTTTGAGAGTTAAATGATTGTGGAGAAAAGTATTTTGTACTGTAACAGGTGATTTGACAATAAAGTTATCCTGACACCAATATGCAGCTGTTATTTTTTCATTTATTTATTTAAATTACAACAGCCCTGTAGCTGTGATGATATTCCTGTAAGCCCAACAAACACAAAACGCTCCCCTATGTTTGTGTGTACGGTTTCCTTTTGCTGAGTTTCAAGAGCATTTTTTAGCATTTAATCCAACATATTATGTGTGATGATGTTTTTTGTTTATTTTCATGACTACAACAATGTACGAAAACTTTATGCTGCTGGTGTAAGGTTCAGTCAGTGAACGTTGAAGGAACGTTCTCTGAACCATGACGCGCACAGCCTAAAATAAACGTTCTATTTCCAGCCAGAAATGCGTCTGAAAAAGCGCTGTTCTGGGAGAGAAAAATATTGCACTGGGAAGTGGGAACCAAAAAAACTTTGGTTGGGAGTGAGTCTGATATATGTGTTTAATCCCATTGGGCGCGTGCAATTATTATCGGCAGTGATCTAGAGCCGCTTATTATTTACCGCAGCTGCGTCTGCGTGCGTCTTTGCCTTTAAGAACCTGCGACATTTTCCCCCCCATACGAACATCCAGTTGTCTTCCACAGATAATCTTTGTGTTGTAGACTTAGGTTTTAGAGAAGAATGCGCTGATTGTTTCTTTGAACTGATCTCGATGTTTATGGTGTAATTTGCGTCGGCCGAACACAAACGTCGAAGGGGCGCGAGAGGACGACACCGCGCTCGAGAGCATCGCGTGGAGGAGGAGGGGACGAAGACACAAGAGGGGGTGTTCACTCAAAATATACTATCCCTTTAAAACAAGGGGGACACGGCGGTGGGGGAGAGATAGCGGGGCAGAGAAGACGGGATAAAAAAAGAAAAGGAAGAAAGAGCGAGGGTGGGAGGGTGAGAGTATTGCAGGGAAAAAAAGGAAAAAATGTCATCCACTCGATTGAAATGCCGAGGCGGAGCCATGGACGACGACCGGTGAACCGCTCGCCAGACACGAATGAGATTTAACGCAACGCCGAGGCCCGCGCAGACGCCGCTCGGGCCTGGATCGAGAATCTTATAATAATAATAAAAAAATTGATGGAAATATTTTTTACCAACGCCATGCTACCGCTGAGAGCAAATTAAACATTAAACTGCCATTATAATTGTATTATCTTTGCATGAATTATTGCACATCGGTCTAATTAACAAGAAAACATAAAATGCAGAAATTCATTTTATATAAAATTTTAAGCATGGTTGCTGTTATGTGGCAATGAGGTGTTAATAACAGGGACCGTGACTGACAGCTGTCGTTTCTAAATGTTTTTTTTAACATAGGGTAAAATGGATATTAATTTATGAGTGCCAGAGTAATTTGCATTCTTTCACTTTTTAAATTTCAATAACATGTCTTTATACATATGGTAGTTTTACATTTTGAATACAAAGAATATATACATGTGAATGTGATACAATAGTGGAAGAAGTCGTTCATTGTGGGGGAAAAATCGACAAGTTGATTTCAAACGGCATCTGTCCTGTTCTACACGTCATGATGGATGCAGCTTGGAGCAATTTCCTCTTTCAGGTAAGACAAAGATTATATGTCACATAATCATGTTAATAGCTATTTTGTTATTTCATTCAAATTCATGTCATAATAGACGTGAGGATCTGTGAGCATTAGCATTTGTCCATAATGGCACCGGTGTACTTCCATTCACAAGTTAAGGCAAAAAAATGTTTAAAATCTGTGATTTTGCCCCTTCTCACAGACAACTCCGCCTTCACAGTCCCAAACTGACGCGACCCTCCAATCAGATCTTCTCCCGGAGCTCACGGATCCTTCTCAGGACCCGCCCCCTGAGCACATAGCCCCGCCCCCATCCACGGTGGACACAGCAGCGCTGAATGAGGAGCCTGTACCGGGTGAGGGAGGGGCAAAAGAGGACGGTGGGAAGGGAGAAAACGAGGTTAGACTGTTTGTTGTTGTGACTTTAGTGGCTGCCGGAGATTGGAGAATAATGTAAATGGGTGAGAATGCTGATGGATCCATTGATTTGCATACGGTTGGAATATTATTAAGGATGCCTGCACGTTTTCTCTCTCCTATAGAGTGCTACAGTTGGGTTCCGGCAGTAAATCATTTTCTCCATAAGGAAATTGATTTTGATTGAACAATAACTTTTAAACCTTTTAAGACCATCAAAATCCATCCAGAATCCATGGTGTTTGCTTCTGCTGAAGCCATCAGCCTGCATTATGCTTTTTTTAATTTTAAAATAATTGTGTGTAACAGTGGAATTCCCGGTGAAAAAATTACACCAACCAGAGAGTCGGGGAAAAAAGCAACACGCTTCAAAAAAGCTCTTTAGCTCCACCCACTCCCATGAAGCACTGCGAATGACGTAATCAAGTCGATTTCTCTACGCTCTCGAAATACTGAAACATTTGTGTAAATGCATATTTTGCAATAAACTTATAATATATTGTTTTTTGTAGATATAATCAACATTTGTAAATGAATAGTTTTATATTTCTCCATCATTTTTATTTTGATTATGCTGTTCACAATGCTTCATGGGATTGTAGTTTTTTTCCCCCAGTAAAGCCGCTAAGTACAGTCTTGTACCTTTGTCTTTTTTTTCTGATTTTCAAAATCTTTCAAAAGAGATGCTTCGAATCAAAGTTTGTATTGTTGTGATTCACCTCGTAGCTGGTGGGAAATCCCTATGGGAAAAATGAATAGAAAGAATAATTCTGGAACCAGCGCCGTTGAAAATGGGAGCTTAAGAGAGATTTGCCATTCAGAGAAGTTGCTGTTACTATGAAAACAGAAACCGGGTCTTTTTATTTATTTGATTTATTTATAACAGTTTTTATACAAACATAATACAGATCAAAATCTCACAAAATGTATACATAAAGTATGCTATTTGCTATACATAAAATAAACAAACAAAGGGAAAAAACAACAACAACAACATTTTTTAGAAGCTTTGACCTTAAAAATGCTGAAAATCCCATGGACAGCCAAAACCACCAATACACAAGTTCTGCAGGACATGGGCACTGACAGGCAACTGCTGAAGACCATCATTAGCAGGAAGTGTCACTACTTAGGCCACATTGCCCGAAACGACCACAAATACCAGCTATTAAAGCAAATCCTACAAGGAAAAATCGAAGGGAAAAAACGACCAGGACGGCCAAAAACAACATGGCTAAGTAACATCAAAACATGGCTACAATTAACAACAGCACAAACTCTACACGCCGTGCTAGACCGAGACCAATATCATCGTGAAGTCGCATACGCCGTTAGGCAGCACTAAAGAAGAAGAAGACCTTAAAAAATCCTTTTGAGGTTTAGGGCAGCAACCATTTCAGCCAGCCATTTATGAAAGCTGGGTGGTAAAGTGGACTTCCACTCCATCAGGATCACCCTTTTAGCCACCACCACCATAACAAACATCAGAGACAGTTGCTGAGAATGTATTAATGCCAATATAGGGTCAGAACACCCAAGCAAAGCTAATTGAAGATCTGGACTGATATCTTCTTCAAAAACGTTCAAATCAATGTCTTTATTGTTAACTAAAACTATTAAAAATTGGTAATTGAAATAAAGCCGAATATATATATTAGATTAAATAATTAAAGTTAAAGAAATGTTGAAAAAAGCTGACATACAAAAATGTATAAAAATAAAACTGATAAATGAATAATAATAAAACTGGGGGGTTAAAAATCACGTTTTGGGGGGTAAAATCATAGGTTTTAGATTTTTACCCACAGAACGCGATTTTAGCAGGGAACTGCGCTGGTTGGTTTGGTTCAGTCTTTGAAGTCTGTACTACGAATCTTTTTCTAATCCATTTGTTGAAAATACTCTAAAAGCAAGAGAAAGATAAAATACATAGATAAAGCATTTTTTGCACTCAAGTTTGATGCATTAGTGCAAAAAAAAAAAAATTCCTTCCAGTTTTTGTCAGTAAGTGGAGAGAAAGAAACTGGAGAATAAAATTGCCCATGTGATTTCACATCTTATTGTAATTACTGCCTGGAAGCTCTTAAGTAGGAACTCTGAAAGGAGCATAGTATGTTTTTGAGTTCCTTCCTAATCCTAGCCTAGGTGTTTGTTTGCAACAAATAGACTACACCTGTGTATGCATAGCATGCTGAAAGTGTCCTTTAACCTTCTCTTTCCCAGTGAAGCCAGTCACGCGACCAGCCCGGCCTGCACACATCTGCTCCATATGTAATAAGCAGTTTAAGAACAGCTACAACCTGCGGCGTCACCAGTCTGTCCACACTGGAGTGAAGATGAAGGACAGAGCCGCTAGAGAGAAAATAGACGGAGGGAAGGCTGGAGCACGATTGGAGAGGCAGACCATCCCCCTTTCTCTCCTCCAGCTGTCTATACCTGCCTCCATACCCACGGCAGTCGACCCCATGGTCCATCCTTCCCCAATCTGCAATCAGCAGGTAGAAACAGTTGCTGTATCTATCGCCCCGGCAACGGTTGCCATGACAGTGAACCAGCCCCTCCCTACTGCAGTGGTGGTTACTGGGACAATGGTGCAGGTTGGGTTGATTTGTGTCTTTGGTTAATACTTTGCATACCTTTGCTGCACTTCCCTTGTTCTTGCTTTGACTTTTCCCCTCATGCCATTGTCTCTCATTTTTAACTCTAAGCTATTAGGCACTTTTCATAAATTAAAAAAAATCTAAACAAATGGTTAGCGAAACAAGGTGCTTAACAAATAGAAAAGGTTGATCATCAAACACAGTAGGTCAAGCTAAATTGCATAGGAGCTGTTTTATTTTTCAATTAATTTTATATGAGGTTTGACATTATTGCAACCAGTCTTTAGGGTTGAATGGTTAATTTTAGATAGATTAATAGTTTTACCTATCATGTCTCATGACATTTATGACTCTCAAATAGTAAATGGGACACTAATCTTTATACTATTCGTGGAAAGTGCCATTTAACATTATTTCATCATTTTTTTTCTGTCCCGTAATGAACTAAAATAGTCGGTTTCAAACACTCTACCTCCCAATTCCCAAGACTCAGGCTAAAAATCAGGCTAAGGCGTCAGCAGTTGTGTAACATGGTCTCATACCTGCTCTTACCTCATTTGTTGAACACTTACAGTCAGTTGGTTAGTAGGTCAGCAAACATTGTGCTTGTTGTACCCAGAAGACACTGAAAGATTTGCTGTGGCTCTAAACACAAAAACGTCAGTGCCATAAAATCTGAAATTCTGTTTTACTGTTTTTCAGGCTGCACCAAATTGCAACATCAATGATAACCTAAGTAATCCCACCCCGATTCAAATATCTATCCCAATAACAAACCCGTTACCCATCAATCCAACTCCCAATCCTAATCCCAACCCCAACCCCAATCCAGTCAGGAAGAACCATGCCTGTGAGGCATGTGGGAAGGCGTTCAGGGACGTGTACCATCTTAACCGGCATCGGTTGTCCCATTCGGATGAGAAGCCGTATTCCTGTCCAATCTGCCAACAGCGGTTTAAGAGAAAGGATCGAATGAGTTATCATGTTCGGTCACACCAGGGAGGAGTGGAGAAACCCTACGTGTGTCCGCACTGCGCTAAGGGCTTCTCACGGTAAGAGAAAAAGCTTTGCTCACCTGCGCACTAGTTGCATAAACATACTTCATCCATCAGTGAGCTGAGAGATTATGAGGACAAACTGTGTATCAGGCCAATCCACAGCAGGTTTCAACAGTATTAGAGCATTATACTGCAGTTCTGACAGTGGTCGAGGACTCGTGAGTGTTTAACTGAAAGCTATGGAGAAATGACCTAATTACTAATTTGAGACTGAAAGTAGGTTAGTGATGAAGAAAAAATGACCTGTATGTATTTATCAATATGTGTCTCATATATTTCAACACACATCTACATCCAAATGCAGAGATACAATAAGTCAAGCCAATAGTAAAAAATAATTATTTAGCTTGGTCTCATTTTCACTTGACCTTAGGCCTATAAAGTAACATGTTTTTGAAAGAAGTCTCTCATCAAGCCTGCATTTATTTGATATACAGAAATACAGAAAAAACAGTAATATTGTGAAATATTATTACAATTTAAAATAATGTTTTTCTATTTTAATATACTTTACAATGTAATCTATTCCTGTGATAGCAAAGCGGAATTTTCAGCATCATTTCTCCAGTCTTCAGATGCTAATATTAGGACAATATAAATATTTCTATTTGAAATAAATTCTGTTCTTTTTAACTTTTTATTCATCAATAAATCCTGAAAATATTAAGCAGCACAACTGTTTTATCAAATCAGTATATTAGAATGATTTCTGAAAATAGAATGTTACAAAACATTTCTAGTTCTAGAAATGGATTTCTAGTCCATGAAAAAAAAAAAAAAGATTTCTGAAGGATCATGTGAATCATACTGAAAACTGGAGCGATCATGCTTAAAAATTCAGCTTTACCATCACAGTAATAAATGACAATTTATAATATATTAAAATAGAAAAGAGCTATATATGTATTTATATTTATATATATATATTTTTTTTTTCAAATAAATGCAGCATTGGTGGTGAGCATGAGAGACTTCTTTCAAAAACATAAAAAAAATCTTACCAACTCCAAACTTAAAATATAGATATTTATAGTATAAACTACATTATATTATATATCTATATAATTCATTATATTATATTATTTTTAAGTATAACTATAGTTCCAGCAGCTCATCTGATAAAACAGCGCTTGCAACTTTGAGGTCACAGGTTTGATTCCCATGGTATGCAAATGCTGATCAAAAAATGATTAACTTTTTATTGAAAGATGGTTTGGGTAAAAGCATCTGCTACATGAAAAAATGTATATAATTAACGAAAACAACTGTGCAACCCATGCCATCCTGCTGTTTTAAAGGAGCCCTGATGCTCCAGACAGATCTCTGCTGACCCTCCTCAAGTTCATATAGAGATGAAGTGCAGCATGCACACACACACACACACATGCACAAGGGTCTCTGCTGGTTACTGTGGTTTTGTGTGTATTGTATTCTTGGGTTGAGCCCTCTCTCTGTCTTCTCCAGGCCTGACCATCTTAACAGTCATGTGCGACAGGTGCACTCTACAGAAAGACCCTTCAAATGTCCGGTAATACAGATACAGCTCTACTCTTCTAGTCTCTCTGTCTTCCTCTTACTCTTTATCACTGTCTTTAACTTCCTCTTGCATGCTCTATGTGATTTGACGTGCCTTTGATTACCTCTATTCTTCTCTAAAGTCTATTCTCAGATTAAAAAAAAAAAAAAAAAGTGTTAATTTCTTATACTTTCTATCATCAAATAATCGTGAAAAAATGATGTATTACTTTGATCTCCTATTATCTTTTATTATTATCATATATTTATTAAACAAAACACTTTTGTGAATGTGTATCTTTAACTATGCTGTAATATAAAACTACTGTTAAAAAGTTTGAGGTCAGTTACATTTTTTAATGTTTTTAAAAGAAGTCTCTTATTTTCACCAAGGTTGCATTTATTTGACCAGTTATACAATAAAAACAGTATTATTGTAAACAATATTAAATAATACTTCAATTTAGAATAACCTTCACTAACATTTTTTTTAGGAAAAAAATGTATACTTTTATTCAGCATTAAATTGATCAGAAGTAACAGAAAAGGCTTTTTTACAAAATATTTTTCTAATACATGTTTGTTTTAACTTTCTTTTCATAAAACAATCCTGAAAAAAAAAAATGCACAAGTGTTTTCAATATTGATTTTTTTTTTTTAAAAAAGGTTATTTTGCACCAAATCTTAGAATGATTTTTGAAGGGTCATTTGACACTGAGGACTGGAGTAATGATCGTGAAAATTCAGCTTTGCATCACAGGAATAAATTACATTTTAAAATATATTCAAATAGATTTTTTTTTTATTCAAAAATATTTCACAATATCACTGTTTTGTATTTTAGATCAAATAAATGTAGCCTTGGTAAGCCTAGGACCAGAATATTATTTTAAATCATCCTGCCTTGTTTGTTTGGGCTCTTTATCAAACTTCAGTCCATTTTATTACAGTATTGCAGAGCTCTTACATGTGCTTCTCTGCTCATATGTGTGAAGACGTGTATGTGGGCTGCAGCCATATGTGTCTGGCAGTGTCGGGATGAGTCATGATGTGCGTGATGAAGGCGAATAGGGATAGAGCTGGAATACCATAATGAAGATTGTGTTTGATAAACCGTGTTGTTTGTTTGTGCAGACATGTGAATCCGCGTTCGCTACTAAAGACCGGTTACGAGCTCATATGATCAGACACGAGGACAAGGTTCCCTGCCACATCTGTGGCAAACTTCTCTCCCCTGCTTACATCACAGATCACATGAGGGTCCACAACCAATCACAGCATCACATCTGCCACCTCTGCAACCGCAGTGAGTCATTGATTATTTCATTTGTGGTTACCTTTTATTATTATATTATTATCTGTGTATTTACATTTTTTGAGAACGTGTATCTTTAAATATGATGTAATACACACTGCTGTTCAAACGTTTGGGGTCAGTCATTTTTTTTTAAATGTTTTTGAAAGAAGTCTCTTATTCTCTCTAAGGCTGCATTTATTTGATCATAAATGTAGTAATATTTTACAGTATATAAAACAGTAATATTGTGAAATATTGCAATTTAAATGAATAATGATTTTAATATATTTTAAAATGTAATTTATTCCTGTGATGCAAAGCTGAATTTTTAATTACTCCACTCTTCAGTGTCACATGATCCTTCAGAAATCATTCTAATATGATGATTTGCTGCTCAAGAAACTTTAATTATTATTATCAATGTTGAAAACAGTTGCACTGCTTAATATTTATGTGGAAACTGATATTCTTTAATGAATAGAAGGTTAAAAAAACAGCATTTATTTGAAATAGAAATCTTTTGTATTTTTTAAATATTATAAAATTCTTTACTTTTGATTTAAAAAAAAAGTTTTTTAATCTTACTGACCTCAAACTTTTAAATGGTAGTGTAAACATTAAGAACATGACAAGTCAGATATACATTCAGTAACTGGTTTCACCAAATAATTTATTTTAAATTTGTTTGATTTAACCTGATTATTTTAGTGAGTGTCTTTTTATTAAAAACAACTTTTTGCTTGTGAATTGGACTAAGTTGGCTGTATGTTTTTGCAGGCAGCCAGTGACATCTTAAAAGAAAGACATGCTGACTATTTATTGTCTTTGTATTGTTTCAGGCTTTTTATCTCATCAAACTTAATTCAAACTTTAACTTTTGTTAATTAACAATTTAATACATAATATTTTAGCATGGCTCTGTAGACTGAATCATTTGGCTACTTACTCTTTGGCTCAAAAGACTCTTATGAGCTGATCCTTTTAATGAATGATTTAAAAAGACTCACAAATGTTTTATACTCTGTCATGGGAGTTTAAATAAATACAAATTAAACTGCATAGTTTGGGCACTGTTGTTCATTTTTTAGTTTTTAGTAGAGTCACGCGACAAATGTGTAAGGGAGGCAGCCCCTGTGTTAAAAACTGGTAGAAAGTGGTCAGCAAAGAAATCTGTAGTAGAGGCAAAGGCTGCCCTTCAAATTGGGGATATCGTGGGACAGGTACAGCATGGAAGAGGGGGTTTTGGGCTCAGTTTAGCTCCTCCTAAATGGCACAAGGCAGGCCCAGCTCAAAGGAGGAAGCTGGTAGTCAACGAGGTGCGTAAGCAGGAGGAGAGGATGAGGTGTATAAAGGCCATTTCACAGGCCAAGCAGGGAGAGTGGATGAGATGGGAGAGTGTGGAACAACGTAAGATGGGCTGGCAAGACCTTTGGTCAATGGAAGAGAGTAGGATCAGTTTCCTTATTAGGTCAACATATGATGTTCTCCCATCACCGCAGAACCTAAACCTCTGGGTAGGAGAGGATCCCTCTTGTCCTTTGTGTTCATCACCTGCCACATTAAGGCACATTTTGACAGGATGTAAGGTGGCTCTTAGCCAAGGTCGGTTAACTTGGCGCCATGACCAAGTACTGCGATGTTTGGCTTTAGCATTAGAAGGCAAGCGTAACATGACCAATAAGTTGCCACCTGTTCTAGCAAAACATTACACACAGAAGACAATATTCCTCCGCCCAGGCGAGCAACCACTAAGAAAAGGTGTTAACACCAATTCTCGCCCAGGACAACTGGAAGCTGCTAGGGACTGGAAGATGCTGGCTGATCTTGATCAACGGCTTATTTTTCCACCTGAGATTGCCACCACTAACCTCCGACCAGATATTGTTTTGTGGTCTGGATCAGCACGCATTGTTCAACTGATAGAGTTAACAGTGCCATGGAAGGATGCGGTAGATGAGGCATATGAGAGGAAGAAACTGCGGTATGCTCATCTGGCCACTGAAGGAGTGCAGCGAGGATGGAGAGTCCAGGTTTATCCAGTGGAAGTGGGTTGTCGAGGTTTTGTGGCACACTCTACAACCCGGTTCCTCAGAGACGTCACACAGTAAAGAACTTATCTGAAGCAGCAGAAAGGAGCAGCAACTGGCTGTGGTTGAGACGGAAAGATTCTGGCTGGCTGTGTACAGGCCGCCACGCTACGGTTTCGTAGAATTCTTGAAAACTTGAAGAGTCTGTTGGTTTACGTTCCTGTGGATATTGCGTGAATGACGGGTGGTTGGGCAGAAATGGTGTTTTGCGGTAGGTGGTATGCCATACGGAACCGTTGCCACTGAACCTACTTTAACGAAGACAGTGGGGCTCGACAGCCTTAGTCAAACGGGTTGGCGCGTATGGTCGGGTTGCGGAGAGATTGTGAGATTGTGGTTAGGTCTCAGCAGCAGGAGGGATGTAGAGGTCAGTAAGCTGGACTGAGTTGAGTGGGGGACGGAGGGGGGTGACTCTGGGACGCCAGAGTCACTGTCGAGCACTCTTGAGGTGTCGTGGGCTAGTCGACGAAACACTGAGGACGGAAGGTGCCCACTTGAAGACCCTAGAGATGTCCCCTACTCGGCTCAATCCAGACGGTTGTCGTGCTGGTCCTGTAGTTGCAGCCGTCGCGTGTGCTGACGCGCCAAGTACACTGCTGCCGTTAACGCCGGACAGAAGGGGAGTCACACCACCTTATGGAAAGAAGCGTAAATGGATGGAGAAGCATAGTTTACTGTAAAGCTATGTCTTAGTTTTGCTTATCTTGGCGAAAGCCGAGTACAAATCAGCATGAAGTTTTAACATCTACTCTCGTGTAATGGAAATCTTAAATTAATTATTTTATAATGTACCAAGTTAGGAGGTTCCCTGTATAATTTACAGCACTGAGAAGGTGACAAGAGACAACAATTAAATTTTTCATAAAAATCATCCTTGTTTCCCCCTAGGTTTCACCACACTGACGTACCTGCGCGTCCACGCTCAGAAGCACCATGGGCAAGAGTGGAAGGAGAGTGGGGTCGGCCGTGGCTCAGGCCCAGGCGGGGTGCTGTTATGCCAGCTGTGTGGGGTACACTGTAAGACGCCCACTCAGCTGCAGGGTCACATGGCCACGCACGCCAACCAAACGGACCCCAACGTTCCTTGCCCCATCAGCAGCAGCAGCAGTTCAGTGCAGACAGTGGGCACAGCCACTCCTGTTTCCAGCACTCCAGTCACAGTTGGGCTGCTGGTGACTGACTGCTCCAGCATTGCTCCTCAGAGCCACAGCTAGCCCACAGCACACCACGAGGAGGAGAAAAATGTGCAAGACGATGGGCCTAAGCTGGACAGGTGAGCAAAGGAACTAGATTGATATATCAGATATTCACAATATATTTGCAATGATTTTGCTGCCACATAATTGAAAGATGCAGAGATTTTAGTGCAATTTTAATTTGCCCATTCATTTTCCTAAAGACTGATTCCATGATCTCTGCTTGTCTTCAGATTAGTGGATGTTTTATTATTCGTATTAAGTTTGTTTCATTTCTGTGAATCAGTTCAAACTGCCATTTAAATTAGGGATGCACCGATATGAACATTTTGACCGATACCGATAACCGATCATTATTTTTATTTGAAACCAAATAACCGATATATTGGCCGATAGATCTAAATCCAAATTTTGATTTAATTTACATTTTTGAGAGCCTGATTACAAAAACAAAAGTTTCACCATTAAAATCCATGTCCCAAGCACACAATAGTAATGTTCTATATGACAGACTTGCGCAGCACATGTTGCATTTAACTGTCATATTTCAAGGAATTCAAAACCATCAGGGCGAACAGTGCGCATCTGAAGTGTAATAAATGTAAAAAAGGGAAATAATTCAATCCTTTATCGGCTTTAATATATCTGCAAAATTTTCTTATCGGGCCAATAACGATACCATTAAAAATGAACATATATCGATCGATAACGATATGGTGGCCGATATTTCGTGCATCCCTAATTTAAATGAATCAACAATTTGGTAATTTGGTCAAAGTCTGCATTAATTTGATAAATAATTCAGTAAAAACAGTAATATTGTGAAATATTATTAGAATTTAAAATAACTGTTTTCTATTTGAATCTGTTATAAATGTAATTTATTCCTGTGTTGGTAAAGCTGAATTTTTTTTAATCCTTCAGAAGTCATTCTGATATGATGATTTGATGATCAAGAAACATTTATCATATTCATCAATGTTGAAAACAGTTGTGCTGCTTAATATTTTTATGGAAATCGTGGAAATAGAAATCTCAATAACATTATAAATGCCTTTACTGGTCCAAAATGATGGTCCAAAAACATCTTTAAAAAAAAGATAAAACCCCCCACATTTCTAGCCACTGCAGAGAAAATGAATAAATATTTAGATATCTTTTTTTAGCTATATCACTCAGTACTAATGTTAAGTGAGAAAAAAAATCTGTTTTTGTAATTTATATTGTCCACATGTTTGATGTCATTTGTTTATTAATAGAGAAATGTGATTGTATGCAAATCAGCATTACCAATCAAGCGTCACCTGTTTTCTCACTCCACAAGGATTGCCATGGAAACCTGCCCCTCCCATCCACCTCAAATCTTGCTGCCACTGTGCTAGACATGAACGACTCTCCTCAAAACAACTGTAACTTTTGAATGAACTCAAGAAACATGAACCGGCTTCAGATTCACTTTTATGTGCAGACCGAGCAGCAAGTCTCACTGGATTGCGTATTCTTTGATCTGGTCTGATGTCTAAAGGAGCCTGCGAAGATCTGATAGACAACTGGTTTGGGTGTTGCTACATTTTCCTTCTAAGTCCCATTGGAGAGATCACTGGTTTTAAATGTAGGCTGTTATTAAGTGCTGTCCCAGTTCATTATTTTAATTTTAAAAAATCCACTGTTGAGGAATGTAGATCACTGAGAGGAATCGACACATTATGCATCCCAGCCATTTCCTTATATTATAATGGCTCATATCTACATGATCTTGAAGTTCAGGAAGAGATGCATTTTATAAATGAATTTAAGAGATTATTCCATCATAAATGATCTTGACATGATTGACAACATTTAAGGGGATCAAATATAGTGCCATTTCCTCTCATTTAAACGTGGTCACAAGGACAAAATATTTATATTTGCAATGTACATAGTATACGTGAATACTAAAAATGTGTCTATTGGTCATTGCCTCCTTTGATATTTTTCTCATTGATATCAAATTTTTTTTTTTTTGACTCAAGACGTTAAACAAATGTAACAATGTTGATTATATTGAATAAGATCTGTAACCTATGTTTCCAATTCTGTTTGTGTTGATGCTTGTTTAACGCCAATATGTGTTGGTGTCGATGTGCTCCTATCCTAATTAATCTACCGTATGTATAATGAACATGCACCTAATTATACTGAATTTAACTATTGCTGTCTCACTTGCTTTATTGAGATATCATGTGTATGTGCATTTATCTATTTGAATCACGGTTGCTATAGTGATAAAAATGGGGGGAGGGGTGATTGTTTTGAAAGAAAAGGAGGATTTTTTCCCTAATACGGTACACAAGATAATACCATTTTTTGTAACGTGAACTATTAGATAGGCCTATGTTATAAAAAAATAACGATTTAATATAAAATAAACAGCTAGTTTTGAAAACATCAAATGCCTGTCCCACCTCAGAGGTCTCGACCTTTAAAACTATACAACATAATAGGTCATAATATTTTATATATTTAGCTTCAGTTTTTAGTTTTAAGGTTTCACAAACAGGACTCAGATTAAGCCAGGATTAGGCCTTAGTTCAATTAGGACATTTAAGTAGCTTTTCTAATTGTCCCTTATAAAAAAAACATTACTGGTGCAAGTGCAAGTTGCTTTCAGTTACAACAGCCCAAACATGCATTTTAGTCTGGGACTAGATTTAAACCTTGACTGTGAAACCGGGGGATTAATATTTTAAGAACAAATATTAACATAATAGGAAATTAATAAATTGCATGTAACAAATATAGAAAATTATAAATATTTTGTATTACTTTAATGATTAAATATTGGGGCATTATAGCATGGCAAGAAAACATGCAAATATTATTTCCCAGTTGATACAAATTGTAGTAACTGTGTTCATCAAGCTTAACCTTTCAAGCCTGTTACCCAAATTATTGCAAAAAAAAAAAACAATAACATACATATGATATCTATAGCATCACACAAATAGGGGTATTAAACTGTATTATTTAGACAGTCTCAAAAAACCTAGGACAATATGTCCAATCTTAAAAGGACAATATCTTCTTTTTTTTTTTTTTTTGTTAAGTTTCCGACTCTATAATTTGTACCCTAATCGTGTAAGTGAGTGTATTATTAAGACAAGACAAGACAAGGGTGAACGGTTAAACTGCGTCTCTCTCTCTCGCATTGTTTACACCGGTGGTCCTCCCTTCCCCCATACACTCATCCCTCCTTTCTTTCACTCCATCCCACTCTCTCAACTCCTCCTTCTCCCTCACTACCGCTATTTCCAACAGCTGATTTCCAGACCAGAGAGAGGGGAACACGGCGAGACAGTTGAGATTTGAGATCAGCAGCAGCAGAAGGATTTAAAGCGAGTAGAAATGCAGGGCGAGCGCTGCGATCCGCAACATCCGTCATGAAGATTTGAGCTCCGCCGCCGCTGCCATCAGCTCCGAGAGGTTAGCCGCTGTGCTAAAGCTAACTTTACAAACAACTGTAGCCAATAAACCTACATTACCAGCCTTCATCACGAGTTACAGTTCGCGTTTCCCTTTCTTTATGCATTAGGAGGGGTTGTATTCACTTTATGTTATTATTTTCGCTCTGAATGCATAATTTGTGCATATAAACTCAGATATAGGTCACGGAGCAGATTAATTAGCCAGCTAGCCAGAGGTAACAGCTGGTTAGGTCGTGTTAGCTACATTATTATTAGAGTTAACTAGCTTGAAAATGACATTAAACTAAACAAATAGAAGATTGAGATACGTGTTGGCAGACGACTGTGGTGTGTGGAAGGGCTTATAGCAGCTTAAATATTAACCTTGTAACGAGTTGTGTGATTGCAGTGTAGCAAGCTTGTTAGCTTGGATATATAGAGGAAAAAGAGCACCTTGCGAACAAAGATGAGGAACCAAACTGATGTTAACTTTCCAGACGTGTTGCAAACATGTTTTCTTACTTTTTGCAGGCTATTTAAAGTGATATAGCCGATAATTGTGCTGTCAGGCCACCGACCGAGCACATGATTAAAGTACATCAACCTTTGGCATGCATTTGGTCTGGTAATGTTTCTGAGTGACCTGCGCTGTTGCAATGCGGCTGCACTGTAACTGAACGCTGGCTCTAAGAGACTTGTTTGTATTGCCTAATATTTGCCAATTTGTTTAGATTTAATGTTTTATTTATAGTTAATTATAACCTAATTAATTGTGGGCTGGTTAATTGTTGAGGAAGTCTTTACCTTATTGTACTAACATACTACCGTATTGCCATCAAGACCGTTCAAACAATGATGTTAAAAGAAACAGTTACATTTGTATAATACATACACTTAAGCTTAATATTTCTAAACATATTCAATCATTACTTACACACATCATGTCATTATGAAGTTGTATGCAACTATGAATGTCAAGCCCCAAAACAAACAAAATAACACACCATAAAAGTGGTCCATACAACTCATACGCTATATTCCAAGTCTTCTGAAGGCATCTGCTAACTTGTGTGAAGAACAAGCAAAATTATAAAGCATAATTCACTGGGGAGAAACTCCCCCTGCATTTTGAATGTCATTTTCCACCCCAAATATTATGAGAACCAATCCAATGTAGCAATGTGTTGAATGGCAACATATTTGATATGAATAAGATTCGTGAACTCCAGTGGATGTGAAGATTTTCGGTGAATAATGCCTATTTTGTTCCATTTGTATTCCATTAAAAAATAACCGATTTTTAACTATACGAGTATGAGTAATAATAAATTTTAGTTTTTTGGTTATCAGTAATATGTAACTTAGAAATTCAAAATAATTTAGAGATTTGTAATTGTATTAACCCACTATCGGGAGTGTACTTAATCATTTTAAAGCGAGTTCACCCAAAAATGAAAATTCTGACATTTACTCAGTCTCACCCTCATGTTTATGTAAAACTGTATGACTGACTTTTCTCTGGAGAACAAAATAAAACATTTTGAAGAACGTTGGTAACCCAAACAGTTTCTGTTTCCGTTGACTTTTGTTGTATGGACAAAAAATGCAAAGTCATGGGATCCAAAACTGCTTAACATTCTTCAAAATTATCATCTTTTGTGTTCAACAGAATAAAGAAATGCATACAGTTTTGGAACAATGCGAGGGTGAATAAATGATGACAGAATTTAAATTTTTTGGTGGGCCATCACTTTAATGACTTTCTCACCCATGTTTGTTCTAATGTAGAATGGCGTTCCATGGATCCACTCGGCCGACAGTGTGTGGTAACTTGTTCCCTGGATCAGAGTTAGGCCACAAGTATTTTTGTGTCAACGCCACGACAGGCACTACCTCAACAGGCCTCAGTGCAACACCAAATCCCACTGGACCCAACGCACCAGCTGGGACTCCCAGACACCCGGCATCTCTCGGGGGCAGCGCTGGCGGAGGGGCAGCCATCCCGCAACCTCACAGTAACCCAGCAAGTGAGGTTCCAAGTCCTGCTGAAATGGAGCCTGATCGACCTATCGGTTATGGTGCATTTGGGGTGGTCTGGTAAGTGCTGCTGTCATCCCAACACACTAATTTCTGATGACTCTCCGTCCATGTAGGCTCTCTACCGTTTTTGAAAGAAGTTTCTTGTATATTTCAATACATTTTAAAATGTTTGACCCCAAACTTTTGAACAGTGGTTTTATATATTACACACTCACATTTTCTTCAATAATGTTAACATCTGGTTACCCTGTTGCATTGCTTTGGTAGGTCTGTGACGGACCCTCGGGATGGGCGTAAGGTGGCTCTGAAGAAAATGCCAAATGTCTTCCAGAACCTGGTCTCCTGCAAACGTGTGTTCAGGGAACTCCGGATGCTGTGTTTCTTTAAACATGACAACGTAAGTTTTGCGGGCTGAAAAGGAATCATGCATGCATTGATTGATTGCTGAGTGGCTGTGTGTTTTTGCAGAGTTTTAGAATTTGATTGCATGTTTTTTGTAATGATGGGAATTTGCTTTGGCAGGTGCTGTCTGCCCTTGACATTCTCCAACCTCCACAAATCGACTGCTTTGAGGAGATGTATCCTTCATACCCACTTTTTACCTAAATCTGTTGCCATCAACTTTTATTTTCTCTGTATTATAAATGCATATGTAATAAGGGGATTAAAGGTGCAGTGTGTGATTTTTAGCGACATCTAGCGGTTCGGTTGCGAGTTTGCACTAAGGGCTCAGCCCACCGCTCACCCCTCCCTTTTGAAGAAGCTACGATGGCTAAAACGGGACAAACATATCGTCGTCTGAGACAGCAGAGAATAGCCAGAGTAAGCCAAGAGTGTGTAACATTGACATTGTTTCTGTACCACAGTCCAAAACCACATCATGGATAAAGTTTACAAAGCCATAGTCAGGTGAGGATCAAGGGTCTTAATATATAATATAATAATAGTAATCAGCTGATTGTCTCACAAACGTAACCAGCACATTTATCCCCACATAGCAAACCCATAAACAGCGAGGGAGAAGAACCACATGAAACTATGCAACTATATATTTTTTCTAACAGGGTATTAAAAGTTTAGCTGGCTAAATATGAGCTGTTACTGTGGCTGAACTGGTTAAAGCGTAAAGCCTTGTTTAAACTCGACGCGTCCGCATGAGCCCAAAGGTGCGCGGCAAAAATGACATGATTGTAACAGCGCGCGTGCCTCCGCATCCCCTAGACACCATTTACTAACTTACACACAATAGGCTTTTTTTCTCTGATTTTGAAAACTCTTCGCGATCGACTTAAAATGCTTCCAAGATCGACTTGTCGACCGCGATCGACGGGTTGGTGATTCCTGTAATGTTACTGTTTTACGGTCAATGACAAGAGTACTAATCAGCTGTCTCACGAACGTAACCAGCACATTTATCCCCACATAGCAAAGCCATAACACAGCGAGGGAGAAGAACTAAATTGCAATTGCATTTATATAGCGCTTTCACAGACCCAATGGCCACCAAAGCGCTTTACATATTGCCTCACATTCACCCACTCATTCATACACCGACGGCGGCGTCAGCCATGCAAGACACCATCTAGCTCGTCGGGAGCAGCCGGGGTTAGGACTCATGGACACCTCGACACTTGGTCAGGTGGAACCGGGGATTGAACCACCAACCTTCTGGTTTGTAGACAACCTACATGAACCACTGAGCCACTGCCGCCCTCTCAAGAAGGGGGTGCCCGCGGTTATGTAGATATAAATGTCTCATTCTAAGGTAATAAAAACATTACGGTTTATTAAGTAAGTTCTTTATACACCACTGGAAACATAGTTATGGATGTCATATTGCATTTCTGTTAATAGATACTCAATTTTTACACATTGCACCTTTAAGTAATTGATTTGTTTCCGCTAGTAGTGGGTGACACTATGGTCCAACTTGTATAATCTTATACCACAGTATATGTGTTTGCATTCTATCACTAGCTATGTTTCCATCCAAAGTTGCAAATTTAACTTGGAAATTGGAATATCGCATAAAACATTGTGTTCAAGAGAACAGAACCGTCACTTCCTTGGAAATTGGCACAAAATATCTGTAATTAAAATGGAAATTGCTGTAATGGGGGAAGCCACTGTGGCAATTTTTTCCTACATCATAAATGACTTGCGCCTCTGTGCGCACAGACAAAACGCAATAAACGCTCATGTTATCTTACGTTTGGATGTCTGGTGTTTGGGAATGCAATCGTGTGAGGCTTCATGGAGGTCATTATGCCAAATCATTTTGATGGCAGACTTTTGGCTCAGGCATTTCAGAATGATCAAATCAACATTTGAGATACTGTGCAATGAAATTGGTCCACTGGTTAGTCCAGTTATCCAATCACATCCACTGTTGAGGCAAAGCCATGTGAGTTTTTGTTGTGCATTGAAGGATTTATTGGGTAAATGTGTTTCCATTGTAGTTTAAGCGTATGGCTTACCGGGTAAAAAATTTATGCGCCTTAATTGAGTGCATACGTTTATTTATTTTTTGGAATTCTTTATTTTTAAAATGTATGCGCATCTTGGCATTTCCATCCAGCTTTTTTTTCATGCAATATCCCAAAATGCGCATAAAAATAGGTGGATGCAAACAGAGACTTTCACATTGGTAACATAAAGCAACGTAGACATGGAGTAATAGCAGACCAGAACATACTGTGTAAAGAGTTACTTGCTGTATTAATATAGTGTGTAACTTGTATATCTGTGAGTTGGAAATTGTAGTCTTATAACAGGGCTTGACGTTTCGAGCATTTGCGACTAAAAATAGATGTGTGTGAACTCTAAAATCTATCTACCGTTACCCCTGTAAACAAAGCAGCTACTTTTTGTTTCTGACCAGAATTTAGATGTTTTTAACAGCCATTTCCGATTTTTGACTATGGTGCTCATCACAACAAATACTTAAATACTTTAAGACTTAATAGGCAAATTTACTATTTTCTAAATGAAAACCTAAAACATGCCCTGGATATTGACTGAAAATGTCTGATTCTTTATTATTGTGCGGTAACACTTTACATTAATTAATGTTAACTAACGGGACCTTATTGTAAAGTGTATAGTTCTTTATGGTTCTTTGGCTGTTCTATTGCTTTATTGTATTTAATTGTTCAGAGTTATTTTTATTGTGAGAAAAAAGTTATTAAACCTGTTGGGAGGGCAGTACTTTATTATAACCTAATTCAATACGTGATAATACCTTATACAATGATAAAAGCTTCAATATATTATGAAAATATAATTGTTTATAAGAGTTATGAGAGTATTCCTCTTATAATGTCTCCTCATATCCCCTTATTAAGCTAAAATGCATTATTTGAAAAATTTGCATTGTTCCCCTGAAGTTTTTTTTAATGGGCTTCTAAATTTGTCTGCTTATGAATACATGCGCTCCTTGGTAAAAAAGTAAACGTCAGGCCCTGGCCTTCTAATACAAATTTTACTGTCTAGTATGTAAAACTCTTATGTAGCATTATGTGAAGGTGTTTTTGCACTTATTAATTTATGAATATCCTGGTTTGCATCCAAAATGAACACCATGGCAAGTGAAAATTAGCTTTGGCAAGTAAATAAAATAGTGTTATTTGCCAGTTGGAAAACTAACTATTAGGAACTTTAACATATTTAACAGATGTTTTTTTTTTTTTTTTTTTTATTGACATGGCAATGATGATATAAAAATACTCTTAATGCACTGGTATGTTCTTTTTTTGGTTAATTTTACCCATTGCTAGTTTCCCTCTTGTGTTCTCATAGTAGAAGTTGTCATTGTGGCCTTAACTGAGTCTGTGGTGTAGATACGTGATCACTGAGCTCATGCAGAGTGACCTACATAAAGTCATCGTTTCCCCTCAGCCTCTCACCACCGATCACATCAAGGTGTTCCTCTACCAGATACTCAGGGGTGAGTTCACATGGGCATATGTTACTTTGGGATTATAATTTTTTTATTTATTTTTTATTTCGGTCAGGTATTTAATCAGGACGGATGAGGATTTGGTGTGTTTTGTGGGATGGGATTCTGTTTGAACTTGTAATCAGCCTGGGAAACTTTAATCTTATGATCTGAAAATAAAATTTGTTAACAAAATCCTACTGAACTGTTAATCTTGTTTGGGGCAATTTTGACTCTCGTTGCTGGGAGAGTAAAATTAATCTTCTTGCTGAGACTGTATGTGTTATAATGTATATGTATATTAAATAATTGTATATTGTTCTCGTAAATTTTTGGATTGGAAAGATATTTTTGAAAGACGTCTCTCTAATGCTCACCAATGTTGCATTTATATGATCAAAATACAGTGAAACGTCTCTGGTTACTTGACTGTAACCATTTTCCTGAGAAAGCAGGAATGACCTTTGTGTGTGACCAGCTGAGAAGCATGTGTGCGAACACGCCAAGGAACTTGGCAGCATCTGACGGTGACGTCATTGGAATCCGTGCTCGTCAGAGTCTATAATTAGATGTGCCACAGGTGCATCTTCAGGTATCACTTTGTCTGAAGAGCAGTTTGGGCATATCCTCAGTGCGGCAATGAACGAGGCATCTCGTTCCCGCTTTCTCAGGGAACAATGGTCAATTAACCCGAGATGTTCCCTTTCAAAAGCTTCTTTCAATGCTGCGCTGAGTTAGCACTTTGGGAACGAGAGAGAGAAGTTGAGGGGACTTTGTGCCTCTTGAGAGGGGAGGAGGTCCAACTCTGCTTCGTAGATTCTTTCCCAGATTTGTTTCACTACCTCTGGGTGGAGTTTCCATTCCCCATTCGGCACAGTTTGTCTGTACAATAAATCTGCTCCCACATTCAGATATCCAGGGATATAAATCACTCTGACGGACAGCAACTTGACCTGAGCCCAAAGCAGAATCTGCTGCCCTAGCCTGTTCAGATGGCGCGAACGCAGACCTCCCTGGCGATTTGTATAGGTGACTGCCGCAATGTTGTCCACCCGCACTAGGACATGGTAGTCCCTGAGCTGCTGGAGGAAGTACTTCAGGGCCAGAAATACAGCCATCAACTCAAGGCAGTTGGTGTGCCAATCGAGATGATGGCCCCTCCATGCAGTGGCGGCATTTCACAGAGTATGGAATTCCCTCTGGGCATAGGCCTACATTGAACAACGACATTACCGAACGATATACCTCACATTATACCAAACAAAATGCACGATGCACTATTAACTCTATTACACTATTAATTAAAACTCAGAGTGAACAGCATTAAATATAAAACCACATGCTGTGCCTTTTTGTTGCAGTGCAGTTTTTATTCCATAAGTGTAACGGTTTGCTGACAGCACTACAGTCCTCATTTTTTTATCGCTGCTTCCATTCTCATGATTGCTATTAATTTCGTCATTAAAAAAACATCCAGGGAAGATTGAATAGGCCTGTTTCTTTTCATTTTTACTCAGTATCTGACAGCTAGGCTAATCAGGAAGACGCGCGATTAAGTGCGGCTGCGCACACTCTCTCTCTCCAAATTTTTTTTATAATAATATTTTTCCAATAATGCATACATGTATACATTTATATGTTCATTTCAAAATCTGCCATTGTGTTTTCGACATTGTTAAAATAATAATAAAAACACGTTTTTTCCTGAAGTGGGATCTAATCAGAGAAGTCTGCGTTAAGATCATAAGAGCAGCGCTTATCGCATGTTTTGCCTTTGGACTTATTATCAAATTAATATTATAATTTTTTTTGCAATTTTATTGCCCTAAAGCAGTGGTCTCAAACTCGCGGCCCGCGGGCCATTTGCGGCCCACAGGGTAATATTTTGTGGCCCCCTACTTGACATTAAATGTTAATGTTAGTGCGGCCCGTCGTTTGCGTGTGCCGCGTTTTTAAAAAAAAATTGTTTTTTATCCCTTATGGGCTACCATAGATAGTCTCGTGACAGCTTACGGTGGGTTTGTTGTCAATAGTTGTCATAGACAACCGCGAAGTACAAACATACTGCGCCTGGCAAAAATGAGCGCGTCGCTTCAATTATGAGCGCACTTACCGCGCGCCTACATTTGAAATAACGAACTTGAGCGCGCAAAATATGTGAGCGTGATATGTGAACGGCCCCTTGGCGAGCTACCACCAATCAGGCCACGAGCTACTGGTAGCTCGCGAGCGACGTGTTGGAGACCCCTGCTCTAAAACAATGTGAGAATAATCACTTTGAGCTTGTAATATGTGTCCAACAGGTTGATAAGAAGGTTTGCTTTGGTTTGTGCAGTCAGTAATTTGAGACACTATACATGTGTAGAAAGAATTCAATAAGACGGGCAGACATGACTGCAAATATTTGTATTTCAAAAGCAATAATTGTTTTTCTAAGTATAATAAAAGGAAATGTGCCTTCCAATAAAAACATTCAATATCATTAATGTGTTGTATAAAGAAAATAAAAAGGACATACGCAAATATAAATATCACAAATATGTGTTATAGACAAAGAAAGTTTGTAAAGTGAACTTCAACTGTCAGAAGGACAGCTCATGAAGAACCAATCATGTACAGAAAGGTATGTTCAAATTCAGAGGAACAGTTCAGAAGAAACGTTAATAATAAATATTGAGAAGATTGGATCAGTTGTGCTCCTTTTTTGGAATACTTGAATACTATTTTTTGTGGAATACTTGATGTGGCCCAGCCTGACCCCGACTCTACCTCCAGCGGCCCCCAGTTAAGTTGAGTTTGAGACCCCTGCCCTAAAGTATGAAGTATAGCAAGAGTAGGAAAAGTCACAAAGTCTCATGCCGTTTGGATGAAAGGAATTTGATAAATAAATAAATAAGCCCAGATTTTACAGTGCGAAACCGTGTTGAATTGCTCCAGCATCATATTATGTAAACTGCATTTATGACAAACAAAGAACTACATGGATGCATATATATCATAACGATCTATTAATAAATGCACACACGTTGTCCTCTGCTTTTGTTCTGACGCTGACTTTGCGGAGATAATACTGGGAGGAGCCGGTTTCATATGACTTTTAAAGGTGACTGAGGCGATCACGAATTAGTGTACAGTTAATAGAAAATTTTCAGGGGGGCTGGGTGGAAATTTAGGGTGGTTAAAGCCCTCCTAAAATCTTTAACGAGCATCATCATTAGCTGATGTTTTATCTGAACTCTGACTGCTAGGGTATGGCAACTGCCATACTCTGCCATACGCAAACGCCACCCCTGCCTCCATGTCTCTTGGGCTGGATGGCCATCTAAGACCACTCCCCAGCCTGACTGGGAGGCGTCTGTCGTTAGCATTTTGCGACGGCAAGACACGCTTAGTGTGGGACCCAAGGCGAGGTACCGGGGTCTGAGCCACATAGAGAGGGTAAGTAGCCCGTGGCACCTAACCCCTATTTGCCCTTGGGGATTGGCCCTTAGATAAAAAAACCCTGGCCTTGAACCACAACTGAAGTGGTCTCATGTGCAAAAGGCCCATAGGCATCACCGTGGACGCAGCGGCCATGAGACCTAATATTCTCTGATACTGACGAACAGTAACGTCCTGACCTGGCCTGATGTTGCTTAGGGTGTTTAGCATGGTCCCGATACGTGTGGGTGACAGTCGTGCCCGCATGGTGACCGAGTCCCATACAACTAAGTACGTCGTCCTCTGGGCGGGAGAGAGAACGCTTCAACCCCAGAGAGACAAGATTAGCTAGGACGGCATCTCAATGTCAAAGCACAAGCTCTTGAGACTGGGCCAGTATCAGCCAGTCATCTATGTAGTTCAAAATGCAGATGCCTTGGAGTTGAAGAGGAGTTAGAGCGGAGCCAGCGCTGCATCCATGCATTTTGTGTATCTGCAGGGTGACAGGGCCAGGCCGATTGGAAGAACCCGATATTGGTAAGCTTCACCCCTTAAAGGGTAACTAAACCCCTGGTCAGAGCCTGACTCCACCCACTGGCAATATTTGAAAAATGCTGGAATGTGGGTAGAGCCTAGCAGAGATAGAGGGGACGAACCGAGGGCAGGGCTGAGCGGGGGGTCGTGCACCTGAGACCCGCAGTGACTGATTATTTGACAGCTGCTGTCAGACTCGCTAAAATATCTATATCTATATATAAAAAAAAAATCCAGCAAAACGCGCCGGCGTGTTTGTCGACACTAGAGGGGTAACTTTAGCCTAATAGGAAGGTACATAAATTGTGATTAAAAATATATGCTCACTCACATCATTACGCCTCTGCGGTGATGGAGTCCATGAAGAGCAGCGTTTAGCACTGCGTCGCTTTTCAGCGCGAGCTGTGTGGAGAAGCCCATTTCCACCTCTATAGCATTGGAGAAGTAATTGCGCGTAAAATGCAGTTTGCACACTCCAGCTCTAGGCGGGAATTCGCGGTCTTCCAGGCCAAGTGCATGCAACCACTGGCCGAACGGTCCACGCACAAATCTCCCGGATTTTGAAAACCAAATGTTGACAGCTATGCTCGCTACAGTGGTTTTGACCAAACAAGATGGTTTTTATACTGCCAAGGGCGTGGTAGCTCGTACCAAGGGCATGGTGAGCTGAACCTGCTTACATCACCTGCCACCGCTTACGGCACGTACCACCGCAAACATCCAATAGGAAAATTCAACTGCAGTAGCCACCGTTCAAGCCGAAGAGGGCAGCACTCAGACGTTTTTACACCATATATTGTAGAATTAAAACACTTTATACCCAAATGTCAAAAAAATTACTCGAATCAATGAACAGCACTAATAAAGCCCCATTCTTACAGATCATAAACTAAAAAAAGTTGGTTTAGGGTTTAGTTACCCTTTAAAGCAAACCTCAAGAACTTCCTGTGTTGTGGCAGTATTTCTATATTCTATATGCGACCTTGAGATCGATCGTGACGAACCAATCGCATGGTTGGATTTGCGACACAATCATTTGATAGTTAGCATCTTGAACTTGAATGTTCTAAGGGACATGGGAAATATAAGGGAAATGAGCAAGCGAGCGCGCACTCTTAACAAAGAGTGACATACAGAGAGAGAGAGCTTACATACACACACAGTACGACTTTGTAAGGTCTGAAGACAAAGAAAACCTGAAGCTGTACCTGTGGCACATCTAATTATAGCCTCTGACGAGCACACATTCCAATAACTTCACCGTCAGATGCTGCCAAGTCCCTTGGCGTGTTCGCACTCATGCTTCACAGCTGGTCACACACAAAGGTGTTCCCAAAGCGCTAACTCACCACAGCATTGAGAGAAGCTTTTGAAAGGGAACCGTAATATTGTGAAATACTATTACAATTTAAAACATTTGTTTCTACTTTAATATCATTTTAAAATATAATTTATTCCTGTGATGGCAAAGGTTGTTGTTATATTGATGATGTTGTTGTTTTTCACATTTTGCCTGGCAGAGATAAATACATAAATGTATTTTCTTGTGTGTAATAAAGAAGTAATACAACATTTAGGGGTCTTCTGCATATGAAAAAGTCAGATCTTCCTTTTTTTCTTTTCTTTTTTGTTTTTTGTTTTCCATGCCTGCCTTCCAACTTTATCCATGACATCATTTTTTGTTTTGTGCAACCAAACTAGTGGATACACAGCACCTTTAATATAACATGGGTGTTTGTATTGGCAAGTGCAGGAAGTCTTGATTTCCTAGTCAGTAGTAGTGTTTAGTTATGTGGTTAGTGTTTGGTTATGATATGTTATTATTCCTCCTGTTGATGTCCTTTATGAGGTGTCCTTTCTCTTTCTCTCAGGGCTGAAGTACCTGCACTCTGCGGGCATTCTGCACAGAGACATCAAACCAGGGAACTTGCTGGTCAACAGCAACTGTCTGCTTAAGGTACCACACTGCACATGTGCTCAAATGTACTCAGTCAAACAATAATGGCAAAATGAGAAATGTCACTTTTCCTTCTCATTGAGATTTGTGACTTTGGCCTGGCACGAGTGGAGGAGCCAGATCCTTCTCGTCACATGACCCAGGAGGTGGTGACGCAGTATTACCGTGCTCCAGAGGTTCTGATGGGATGCCAGCATTACACTTCAGCTATAGATGTCTGGTCTGTAGGGTGCATCTTCGCTGAATTGCTGGGCCGGCGTATTCTTTTCCAGGCTCAGAGCCCCATACAACAGGTAATGGCATACACTAACATTCAAAAGTTAGGGGCCCGTAACATTAAAAAAAATAAAAATACTTTTAATCTGAAAGGATGCATTAAATTGATCAAAAGTGACTTCAACCTTATTACAAAATATTTCTGTTTGAAATAAATGCTGTTCTTTTAAACCTTCTCATCAAAAAATCCTCTTTTTTTTGGAAAAAGTATCACGTTTAAACACTAAAATATCAAACAGGGTATAACTGTTTTCAACATTGATGATAAGAAATGTTTCTTCAGCAGCAAACCATATTAGAATGTTTTTTGAAGGATCACGTGACACTGAAGACTGGAGTGATGATGCTGATAATTCAGCTTTGCCATCACAGGAATAAACATTTGAAAATACATTCAAATAGTAGACTTTTTTTTTAAATTGTAATTATTTCACAAAATTACAGTTTTACTGAATTGTTCATCAAATAAATGCAGCCTTGGTGAGCATAAGAAACTTAAAAGTCTTAACCACTATTAAAGAATCATCTTTAATACATTAATTTAAAATCTAGCTAAAATGAAATTATTTTATTCATTTGATTTTGAAATGGTATGAATGAAAAGTGTCTCTTTACTCACTCAGTTTCTCCTCTCTTTTTCTCAGTTGGATCTGATCACTGATCTTCTCGGGACTCCTCCTCTTTCTGCCATGGCATCTGCGTGTGAAGGAGCTCGAGCGCACATTCTTAGAGGACCCCACAAACCAGTTCTGTACCCTGTCTTACAATGATTTATTAGTCTTTAAATATGTAATGCTCAAAAATATCCTCAATTTAAATACAATATTCTAAGTTTAATTTGTGCTTTCTCTCCCTTAGCCATCATTGTCTGTTCTGTACATGTTGTCGGATGGGGCAACACATGAAGCTGTTCATCTTTTGTGCCGCATGCTAGTTTTTGATCCAGTGAGTATGATGTATACATTTTTTCAAATCTTTTTGTGGTCATTTTTTGATAGCCTACACTTAAAACAATAGTTAATTTTGGGCTGCAAATGCGTCATAAGATTCTTCCACATTCTTCCATAAATGGTTGACTCTCACAAAACTGCAGGAAGCACACTGACCAATGTTTAGATGTTTTTCTTCATTATTTAGATTTTTAGGTTTAGATTTCTTTCTTCTTAATTATAACATTGTTTAATTTCCAATGTCTTCTTTAAATAATAAAATAAATATATGTAGTTGTAGCATTTGTTGTATGGTGTGTAAGGTATGCAGATGAAGTGATTAGATAATTTTGGCTCCATTAAGATAATTTTATTAGATTTTTTTTTATTGTAATTCTAAATATATAAATAAGAATTGGAGTAATTAAAATCTAGTTCATCATCATCATCATCATCATCATCATCATTTACTTAATGTAAAATGATCTCAAAAGTGACATGTCTGGATGTGTTTAGGTACTGAGAATTTGACAATATTTTCAAGACCAATAAGTACATTTCCGTTCGATGTAAAAATAAATCCCAATAGTCTGGAAATACACTACCATCCAAATATTTAGGGTCGTTAAGATTTTTTTTTTTAAGAAGTTTCTCATGCTCACATCAGCTGCGTTTATTTGATTGAAAATACAGTAAAAACAGTTAACAATTAATACGTTAACAAATATATACTGTACATTTTAATATATTTTCAAATTACCGGTAGGTTTATTTCTGTGATGGCAAAGCTGAATTCTAATATGTTGATTTGGTTGTAAAGAAACATTTCTTATAGATAAAAACAGTCGTGCTACTTACTATTTTTGAGGAAACAGTCATGCATATTTTTCAAAAATCTGGATGAATAGAAAGATCAAAACAACAGCATTTATTTGAAACTGAAATCTTTATAAATGTCTTTACTGTCACTTTTGATCAATTTAATGTGTCCTTGCTGAATAAAAGTTTTAATCATAAAATGATAGTTATTTTTATATATTATTTGTAGTATGTTGTTGTTGTTGTTGTTATAATTATTATTCTGTGTGTCTCCATCCATAGGCCAAGCGCATCACGGGCAGTGATGCTCTGTCTCATCCGTATTTAGATGAGGGTCGTCTGAGGTACCACACATGCATGTGTAAGTGCTGTTACTCAGTGCCCAGCGGGAGGGTGTACACCCGAGACTTTGAGCCGCCTGCAGATCGACCTTTCAGCCACAACTATGAGCAGAGCATGCACTCTGTTTGGCAGGGCAAAGGTGACTCTCTTTTTATCACTCTGGCCCTTTGTTACAATATTAAACTTCATCTTCTTTTGACATGAAGGACCTATTTTGAAAGACCCGTTTTCTCTCTTCATCTCAGAGCTCATCCATCGTTTTATAACAGAGCACCAGCAAGGCAAACGAGTGCCTTTGTGCATCAATCCCCAGAGTGCAGCCTTCAAAACCTTCATTAGGTCAGTACAAGAACAAGTGTTTTTTGACAAACCTTTTTCAAATACATGAACTCAAAATTAACCATGATATGGAGATGTAATCAGATGTAATATTTACTCACTCTTGTAGTGCATTTGATAGTTGCTTAGCTATAAGATTTATTATTGTTGTTGTTTAATTTTCAAATGCCTGGTATTAATACCAATATCTAGAGCAGGGTGGTCTCTATACAAAATATTATTTTAAATAAATGTATTTTATATAGTTATTAAAATGTATATTTTATGTATAAATGTATATACTAATATTAATAATGTATTGTTGTTGCCTGTTGTTGATACCATTAAATATAAACAAAGCAGTAAAATATAAATACAAATAAATATTTGATGAAATTATTATTATTATTATCATTATTAGTAGTAGTAGTAGTAGTTATATTATATAAACCAGTATAAATATAAAACAAAATATTATGCATGTGGCCTTATTTGTGTCCACCAAACTTCCATTTTAAAGGGTTAATTTAAATTCTGTCATTTACTCACCATCATATCATTCCAAAACCGTAAGATTCATCTTCAAAACAAAAATGAAGATATATTTTTTTTAAATCTGAGAGCTTTCGGTCCCTCCATTGGCAGCTACGCAACTACCTCATTGACGCTTCAAAAAGTTCATAAAGAGATCGTAAAACTAATCCATATGAATTGCTCATATGGAACTGTTTAGTCAAAATTCTCTGAAGAGACACAATCAATTTATTTGATGAACAGATTGAATTTAGACTTTTATTCATATATAAACTAGGGCTGGGAATCGATTATAAAAATTAACTAATTAATCGCACAATTTGCTGTGATTAATCACATTTCCCCCAAGCATGTAATCATCAATATTTATGAAGACATAGAATCACCAAATTAAATTAAACAACACAGAAAAAAAAAGAAAAATGTCCACTAAAATTGGACAGAAAATAGCCCGATATTAAAAGTAATATTAAACATCAATATATTATTCTTCATTCAGTTCTATGCAACATACTTAGATTTAACAGATTTATTTTTGGACTAATTATCAAAATAAAGTATAGTCCTACAAAGCTATTTTTACCAGAGCATGTGATCAGAGCAGGTAATTTTACCATTGTTGCCCAGCATGGCTATACCAGGTCAGTAGGGCTATTGCAAACAGAAGTCTACTACTGAGAAATTTCACGTTATTTGAGCGGACTTTGCTTCTCCAGTACGTGATCGTTACATGATTGGAGCGTTTGGGCTGTGAACGACAGAGCAGAACGCACAGCGCAAACACGGTGCGGAACGTTGCGCAGAGAGTGCAGCGCGCTGACACACACACACACACGGAGCGGAAAAAAACCTGCTCGTGAAGTTAGTAAAACAAGCTGCGTGAGAATGAAACCTGATCGCCAAACACAGAGGGGCGGGGCGACATATTTTCGGCTTATATTTTCTGCCTTTTTGTCTTTCTCAAAAAACGAAAATGCCATTTTCGGCCGATAATTTTCGGCGGCCGGAAATTCATTGCATCCAGCTTCTATGGTATTTGAATTCAGCTTTGCTAATTGTACACATCATCTTTGTTTTGTCAAACGCGCCATGAGGCAACTTTTTAAATGCAAACGTTCCTCCTAAAACTCCATCCTTGTCCTTCTCCATCATGACAGGGTGACTTGGTTCGGCACACTCACAATAGCAGCCGCAACAGGAAGTCATTAAAACGAGGCAAAAAAAAATCAATTGCTGCGTCAATATTTATTTATTTATTTTTTATGCGTTAAACATCTCAAATTAAGCGCAAAGATTAACGCGTTAATTCCCCCAGCCCTAATATAAACATTGATCAGCAAACATATACACAAGCTAAACCAATCCTGCTTGATGTACAAGAATGAACCTAATTGGTTCTTGTGGAAGCTCCAACGTGCTGCACAACACACGAGGATGAACCTCGTTGGGTCTTGTGGAAACTCAAACATGCTGCGTAACACAAGAATGAACCTCATTGGTTCTCAGATTTCATTTAAAATATCTTCATTTGTGTTTCGAAAACGGACGAACGTCTTACAGGTTTGGAACAACATGAGGGTGAGTAAATAATGACAGAATTGTTTTTCTTACTTTCTGTATCAGATCCACAGCCTGGCATTCGTCAAAAGTATCAAGGAAAGAAGAGAGATGAGGGATGAGGTGTATACTGGGACATATGGATCATAGAAGCAAGCTTGCATTGGAGATGACTGAAGGATCACATGCTTTTGAACGCATTTCCAGCACTCTTACCAAGTCAACATGGGGATTTCTCAGAAAAACATTTTTCCAGTTCCACTTTCACAACACTGATGAATAATGCTTCTGATGCTGCTGAGAACAGTTTTATACTGACTATGTGCTCGAAGATTATGGCAAATGGAGTTTTCCACAAAAAAAAAGAAAAGAAAATCTCATGGATTGTTGAATTTTGACTAAATGAGCCAACGTCAATGTTGTGCAATACAGATATCTGGAATAATGCAAATGATGAGACTGCGCTGACCATGATTTCACTAACAGATGAGATGACAGTGCCCACAAGTCCATAGCATCACCCCCGTGGCCATCTATAACTGTGGTGTATCTCCAAATTCAGTCTATAGACTTTTATCACTGTGTTCCTTTTCTGGGTTCTTAGGTTTTACTCTTAAATTCTGTTAACCAAAAGTTCCAAAAGTCTTCTTTCTTAGTTATGGCTTCCTCATTGAACTGAATGTTTTCTGTTCAATACCACTCAGACTTTCTCTAAAAAAAAATTTCCTTACTGTTATTATTTTAATTTTATTTCTTTTTTTGAGGGAGTTTATTGTGCAGATTTCTTTCTAATCTCTCTACAGTTCTAATGAAGCATCCTGTGCAAACGATCCTTGAGCAAACGCATTAGTTTTAGAGTTGCATTAGAATGCTGTTTAGGGTCGATGGCGTCTTGTGTTTATCTGAGGAACGTAGGTACTGTGCTGTTCCTGCCTGAAGCATCTTCCCAAAGCCCCCCCCCCCCCCAGGACCAAACGAGATTGATATCAGTATCCTACTTTATGATTGGGCGAGGCTCTGTAGGCAGAGAAGATGGATCGAATGTTATTTATTTTCTATTTTTAATTTATTGTCTTGTCTAACTTTTTCGGTGTTTGTGTTAGGCGGACCAGGTGCGTGCGTTTCATGGCAGCATGAGCAAGTCATGTGGTCCGTGCGTGTTTTTGAAAAACCGCGGTTTCGGGGAGTTTAGGGAATGTGCAGTGTTGTACTTTTTTGAATATTTCATTACCTCAACCAGCCCTCAGTTCACTGGGCTTGTGTGTATAGACTGAACCCAATCGTTTATCAAAAATGTACTGTAATACAGCCGAATGACGTCAAGTGTGTGTGGAGCTCCTCCACTGGGCAGCAATCTCTCCCTGAATTGTGTTTCTGAATCAATCTGCTTTTCTTTTTCCTTCTGAGTGAGGGATTGGTGGGATGGTGGCTGATGGGTGAGTCTTAGATGCTTGTTGGAGAAATGCTGCTGATTGTGTAATACCTCCCTGACTCCTTTGTAAAAGTAACACGTCTAGAGCTCAGGTTTCATATTATACTATATGGACTAGACTGTAGACACTGTAGATGTGGATCCAGGCAGAGTTACTGAAGACAAGCAGTTCTTGGTGCTCTCTGGGTTTATTGCAGAAGGCCGAATTCTCAAATGCCCAGTACTGTAAATGTTTGCCTCCTACCAGCAGGTGGCAACAAAAGCGCAGGGCACGATTGGATGCATCAAGGCTGTTCCTCATTAATAATGTCTCTCAATGCATGTGTGTATGGACTTCACTTGGATTTGCAAATTGCAGTGCATTAGTTGTTTTATTTGAGAAACTTTTTAAATGTGCTGTTGCTATTTAATTTTATTATAGGAACATGTTCTTTTTAGGTTTTGTTTTCATGTATTGTGACCAATTCTTTTAGGTTTTTGGTTTTAATCTTTTTGTTTTTTTTGTTTAAGTTGATGTTTTTATGACCACGTTTGCTATTGTGTTGGTAGAAAAACTAGCAAAATAGTGGGATGAAGATCAGTGGGTTGGTTTAGTCGTTTTCGTCTTACTGACTGCCAAGCAGAAAGTGAACTTTTTAAGTAAATGGTGAATTTCCTTTAGTCGTAAGATAATAGATGTTAGACATTATTAAGATGAAACTGAAAACTTGGTATTTGTGTTAATGACTATTATGGCTTTGATAATATGATTGAATAGTTGTTTTAAGATGGTCATTATTTCTTATGTTTTATTAGGTTTTCTTTTCTTTTTTTGTCTTTGCATTTTAGAAGAAAATATGTTTTTGGACTTTTTGTGTTCCCAACAAATACTTGAAGTTTTTTTTTAAGAAAAAAAAAGAATACGTGGATTAGGATAAAATAGACATTAAAGAGACAGACACTGGAAACCTTGGCTCTGCATCTTATTGGCTTGTCATTACAATTACATTCCAGTTCAAGGACATAGTTATGATATTTCAATAACAAAGATTTTGAAGAGGTTTTAATGTTCATGTGGTTTTGCAACTATTTTGGCATGAAATGAAAATTCTTCATATCTATTTTCTAATGGCATATTATAGGACTTATTGTGAACAATTAATTTATGCATGTTTTTTATGTTTTGACCTAAACTAATGTTTAAACCAAAAAAAAAAAAACTTTTACGTCACAATACGGATGAAAAGATCTGTCTGTTTCATTGTGACTTCAAAATTAAGTGATTTAAAAGTTCTTCTAAAAAAATCTATAAATCTTGAGGTGAAATCTTGATCATGACACAATCACTGTTTTGTGTCAATATGTTTGTTCAAGGAAGGCCTTCTAGAATAGATTCACATGACAAACTTAAATATCAGAAACTGGTCACAAGTTACCAGACTCTTACAATAAATACAATTTTAATGACCAAGGGCCTCATGTATAAAAGGCTTTGTGTATGTTTCATCCTAAATGTATACATACACACAAGTTTTTAGATTTGTAAAACCGTATGTATGTCCGAATCTGCACCTGTTAACTTGATTTGTAAGTACATACTCAAGCTTTATTTCACATGTTCTCAAGTCCCTGAAGTAACCATAAATGGAGCTTAGGATACTTTGTTGTGACTATCTCCATATAATTTCCATATGCATATTGCCTTCCAGACAAAAAAAAAAGTAGGCGACGCATTGCAGGACAGAAGTCTCCAGCACAGATATAAGAGAGATTACACTGCTAAAATCACCCATGTTTTTCACCCAGTAAAACTATTGTTAAGAATAGAAAAAAAACAGATGTAAAATTGGATTAGATACTAAGTTTTCATATAATGTATTACGAATATAGACCAAATGAAAAAAAAAAAAGGTTCTGCCCATTTTGTTCACCGTCTTCCTTGCAAAATTCTGTGGATCACTTAAGGAACTTTGTTTTACAAATATAAAAAGCGCTACAAGCTACATTTTCTAAAAGCAGAACATTTTTTTTGGCAAATGTAACTTTTAGGCTTCGGGGGCCTGGTGGAAATAAAAGGACATTTTCCATTTGCACACTATTTATAAAAAAATAAAATAATAATAATATACTTGGCGTATGCAGATATAACTGGTGAGAACTTAGCACTAACCTTCTTTCCCATCAGGAATATTGCATAAAGTATAAATATAATTACAGCTATGATGTGAAACACACTGCCCATTCAGCTGATATTAATTTTTGCTGCATACCGACATTCTGTTAGTCAGAAACTATATATTTTAACAAAAGTACAACCCCATTTCCAGAAAATTGGGGACATTTTGTCAAATGCAATTAAATCAAGAATCTGTGGTTTGTTAATTCTCTTTAACCTTTATTTAAATGACAGATGTACAAAGAAAATATTTCCAATGTTTTCACTGACCAACTTAATTGTATTTTGTAAATATAGGCTATACAAATTGATTTTGATGACTGCCACACATTTCAAAAAAGTTGGGACAGAGGCATGTTTACCACTGTGTCACATCACCTCTCCTTTTTCACATAATTTGTTGCAAAGAAAGCTGGAAACAAAGATGATCAGGTGATATAGTTTTCAGCATCATAAAGTAGAATAAGTCACTAATCTTATCCCTGACCAAAAGTGGTTATTTGTAATTAATAGATTATATTCACCATCAATACTTTCTTGCCACAGATCATTCTAAAATTAGATTTTTAAATACATTGTAGAAATTTTTTAAGACACCCAGCATGCATTGCGGCATGAAGCATATCACCATTGTTGAGATTCATATGCTGATTCTTGATGTGTGTGTCTGAAGACTTTTTTTCCCATAATGTATTTAAAAGTCTAAATTCAGAATGTCTGATCTGTTGCAAGAAAATATTGTTGGTGAATAAAATCTATTAATAACAAATAACCACTTTTGATCAGGAAAAATATTAGGGCATTATTCTACCTTACGTTGCTGAAAACTATATCACCAGGGGCCCGTTTCAATAAGGAGGTTCAACCAACTCTGAGTTAAAACTTGAACTCTGAGTTGACTTACCCTGAGATGGGAAACTCTGAGTTTTCGGTTACAGAACAGCTGAAATTAGTTAGTTCAATCAACTCTAAGTAGACTGACTCTGAGTTAAGCGCGTGCACCACAACTATAAAAAGCCATTATCAATGGAGTGCAGATATTACGAGTCACCATGGCAACAGCGCCAGACAAAAAGAGGAATTACTGTTATACAGTGTTGGGTGTAATTAATTACCAAGTAATCTAAATATTGTAATTTAATTAAAGGGATTACTCTTAATTCTGTAATTTAAAATAAAATCTGATGTAATTACATTAAATACTGTAGAGACTATAGAACAGTTCAGTATAACACAATAGTGGATTTAAAATACATTTTTAAAATACAAGGTATATTTTTAATGTTACCTTCTCCCTCTACACACTTTGGTCAATTCAAGAATAATTCATGCAATTGTATATTGTTAATTTGAAAGCATTAAAAGTGCAGTTTCTTGTCTCTCCTTGTATTGTTCAAGTGGTTGAGGTTGATATGGGATTTAGTAATTAGTAATAAGTAGACCAATACTTTCTAAAGATAGTAATTATTACATTAATCTAATTACACTGTTGAAGATGTCATTTGTAGTAATTAATAACTATTTTAGAGTAACTTACCAAACTGTTATAATATCAGAGGTGAAACTGAAAGAACAGTAGCCTATGTTATTCAACCTAATTTTAATTTTCATGTAGGCTATAGGTGCAATCCTGCAGGCATTAAAAGAACGTGGCAGCAGCTGAAAATAAAATATATAAACATAGTTCAATCAGGTAAGGCTTGAGCATATCATGGGTGTAGGCTACCTGACTTTACAAACATTTGACATATTAAATAACTAAATAGCATCCAGTATATAGCAGTGCAG